ACGAAGTGTCTGAAGGAATAATCCTGGGGGAATCATATTACAGAGTGCAACGTAGTTCTATGTTTTACCATTTCCCCAAGTCAGATCTTTTTTCATTGTGGGCTTGAGTTGACTTTGTGTAACAGAGAATCTGTACCCATTTATATCAGTACACATTACCAGTTACTTAAGCTTTCTCGATCAGATGGAGGAGTACTGTCCAGTTAGCAGAAATAATTTTTTTTCTTCACAGCAGATAGCAATGTCTCTAGAGAATTAATCTCCAGCCCTTTCTCACTCTACCTGTAAACTTTTCTTCTTTCTAAGACACAGTAACATATAATAAAAGGGACAAAGCATCTCAGATCCAATTCAGGCACACTTGTTGGGAGCCATTTGGTGAATTCCTCTCTTGTTTAGGGATTAGTTTATAGAAATGAATAACAGGAGAGAAATTTTGAAATCCATTCTCAAGTTGCTTTTAATTACTCTTCTCTTTGGGGGTTAAATTATAGTGAGTTAACAATGCCTACTTGGTTTGTCTTAGGGAGTTGGTGGTTTTGCTGCCAACAGGTAAATTAATCCTAGTTCCACCCAGAAAATTCCATGTATACTTTATTGCCAGGGATTAAGCACATCGCTTATGACAAAAGACTTGAAGATTATAATGAAATCTTAAATTAATTAATTGTAGGAACTATCTGGAACTCTGTTTTGTTTAGCTTTTCTCTTGAATCACTCTAAGGTGTGAAGCATTAGATATGGCTCTGATATTACTGATAGCCCTGTTTTCCTCTATAAAAGCAATTGGCTAGCTAAGGATTTTTGGAAACTATTCAGTATTATTTAAAAAAAATTTAATGGAATTTTTGTGTTTGTGTATGGTATTTTTCATTATGTCAGTTTAGACATGTCCCACAGCATACAGAAGTTAATGCAAATTAATGCCAGACTTCATTCTTTTTATGTTATTATTGGGTTTTATATTGTATAGAATCACAGAATGGGTTGGGTTGGAAGGGACCTTAAAGTTCCAGACCTGGGCATGGATGCCACCCACTAGACCAGCTTACTCAAATCCCCATCCAGCCTGGCCTTGAACACTTCCAGGATGGGTCATCCACAGCTTCTCTGGGCAACTTGCCCCAGTGCCTCACCAAACTTTACAGTAAATAATTTCTTCCTAGTATCTACTTTAAACTTACTGTCTTTTAGGTTAAGGCCATTCCCCCTTGTCCTATCACTACACGCTCTTGTGAAAATCCCTCTCCATCTTTCATGCAGGCTCCCTTTAGGTACCAGAAGGCTCCTCTAAGGTCCTCCTAGAACCTTTTCTTCCCCAGGCTGAACAGCCCCAACTGTCCTAGCCTGTGTTCGTATCAGAGGTGCTCCAGCCCTCTGATCATCTTCCTGGTCCTTCTCTGGACTTGTTCCAATGGGTCAATGTATGTTTGTGTTTACAGAAGCCCAATATAACCCATGAAGAGCTACATACTTATTTGCATAAGCAGATTATTAAATAAAGTGTCATTTTGTTATGTGGTTCTATGATTTTCAACAGAGAAGGACCAAGATCAGTGCCTGGGATAGTTAGGTATTAGAGCAGTGCAGATATAGAATAAGAAAACATTCACCAGATTTTGGAGAATGCAGTGAGTGCAGGATAAGTCCAGCACTTCAGTGCCTGTTGAATATTTTATATCCTGTGCTACTTAAAAGAAAATTATCATCACTGATTTATGTCTCCTTGTTCTGTTTATCTATATGTTTTAAGTTTATGGCTGCTGCTTCACTTCTAATAATAAGATTTTAAAAAGCAAAAGGGTAATTTGCAAGTAATAACTTCTCATTGCTATCTCCAATAGGGAGAAACTTGGACAACTGCTCCAGGGTTTAGGAAAATTCTTGTCCCAAAAGTCTTTCAGACAGTGCTATGGGAAGGGGATTCCCCTGGGTGTCCCTGTCACTGGCAGCTCTTTTTTAGGGCTGCTAGTTTTTCTGTGAGGCTTCAATTGAGGTCTGTAGGCCCTTGTACATGTGGTTAACTTCCCAGTGCTATTTTTGGGGACCTGATTAAAACTGTCAAACCTTTCAGTTAGATTTCTGCTTTTTTTCAGGGGAATTTGTGAGAATTTAGCAGTTTTAAAAGGTCAGGTCAGGCATGCATAGAAATACTGACTTTATGCAAGCAGTTAACATGTCAAGTGTTTTAAAATTACACAGGTGGAAATTCTGTGAAAGTGTGAAGTATTTTATTTATTTGTTTTGTCTAATATTTATTAGGCCTGAGATAAAACATGAGGCAAGACCTGAGATAAAACATTTTATTCTTTATGATAGTTTTTAAATAGAAAAATTCTGCTAAAACAGAGACTCCTCACAAACATTTCACAAGACAATTGTCAGCCTGTACTGCTTTTCCTTGTTTGCTCCTGCAATGCTGCTAGGGTGTTGGTGCAAAGGTTCTTCTGCCTCACAGGGAGAAGTTTTGACTTATTTAGCTGTGTTTACTGAGGAACTACTGTGTTGCCAGGAGCAGGAGTGGCTTCACGTGGTTTTAATTGAGAAGTGCAGACCAGGAAGAACTGCAGGGATTAGGGCTGTGGGTGAGAGCTTCTGTTTACTCAGTAATTCCCTAGCAATCAGCAGCAATAACAAAGCAAACACTGAAAAGATATATGACAGAAAAAGTTTTAGAGTTCAGTTTCTTATCCAAACTAAAGTCAGTTACCAGCCTAGGCTGTGAAAACTTTTATAAACAATTTCTCACCTGTGAAACTTCATGCATTAAAATACAACCCCCACTTTCCTGAACTTACAATATATTAAACTGATGAAGAAGATAAATTATGATGGAAATTTATAATAATTCATTTCTATTTTTGATGGGATAAAAGCTGACACTGTCATGTTTGCTAACCAGAGACCTCCTTATTAGTTCCAAGGTTGGAATATCTTTTCCTTGCTGATGATGTCAAGGAGGTTTCCTCACAAAATCCAGTTCCTCATAATGCCTTACCTTCGGTGACTAAAGCGAAGTATCTGTTTAGAGAGACTCTTGGCAAATGTTGCCTGTTTCCAAATCCCACCATTCCTACTCTTGAGATTATATTTCCTTCATTTGTGTTTTGGAGAAAGCATGACCAGGACTTGGAGTCTCCATGCACCTAATACAAAATGTGATGTCAGTGGGACAGGCCATCAAGAGCCTTTGTTTTGCCTCTTACTACTGAGAATAGCCTTTACACTGGCGGCTGACAACAGCTTAGCTTTTGAACTTTGTACCCAGTGATTTTTTGAGGATAAGCGTTGTTTCCTATGTTTAAAAAAAGGTAAAGAAATCCCAAACAAACAAACAAACAAACCCACAACCAACTTGCATACAGCCTTATACTCAGAAAAATAACTTTCTGGTTGAAGCTTTCAGCTCCAGTTGAGTTTGACCTCTACAGAAACAAATTGTCATATCCTGGTGAATACTAGGAAACAACCTATACTGCTATAGATAGTGGAAGAATGGGGACAATCAGGAATTTGGTGTTCCTTCTTAGGTTTCAGAGGGAATTGCAATATAGGGTCATGGGCTTTACTTCTTTAAATGGAATTATTTAGCCCATCCTTTCTGACCTCTCCCTGTCCATTCTGTTGTCTTCACTACACCTGCTTCCTTTTTTTTTTTTCAGTCTTATTGAAGATCCATTCTGTAGGATTCTTATTTTAGCATATGAGCATCTGCCCAGACAGTCTGTTGTTTTAGATTTGGAGATTTACAAAGTGTTTCCAGAGGAACTGTAGGTCACTTTAAAGGGACTTCAAGACTGTGAACAACATAATGTTTCCTAGCTACACATGATGGATCTGTCAAAGCAGGTAACAAAGCAGGTAGGGTGTGTAAACCTCTTATGCAAACCACTTATGTTAGAGTAGGAAGAAGGTATTGAATAATTTTCTTGTGAGTGAACGAAGTTTTGGAGACTTCACATTTCTCAAAGAGTGCAAATAAACTACTCAGTAGAAGACAAGATGGAGGTGCTCACCAGCTTCAGCAGCTGAAATATATAACCTCTCCCCATTTTTTTAAGGTAAGTAACGAATGTCTGGTCCTTGCCCTGGAAGGGCTGGAGCAAAGAACCTAAAGAAGTGAAGCAGACTTTGTATTTTTGCAGCTGTCTCAGCCATGCCAGTCTCAGGGAGAACCATGCAAGCTGTAGCAGTCTTATTTTATCTTTTTGAAATAAACATTCTTTTGAACTACTTAAACATCAGGTGGTTTTTTAGTGATCTCTTTGTTTGGAGTTTTTTCCACATGCCATTTGTTTTTTCCTTTTTCCTTCTGTTATCTTCATTTCCTGCTTTCTGCAGTCATCTTTGATCATGAAGCACTTTGAATTTAAAGGCTGAAGATTTAGTTGAAAGACAAACACATTGACAAATGCTTCTAGTGGTGAATGGGTTTGGCTTCTTATTGTATTCTGTTTCTGTTTGTCTGATTTTAGTTGTGAGAGAGCAGGCAGTACATCTAAGCCCTTTTAGCTATCAAAAATATGGTGATTTTATAGGGAGGTTGTATTGCATGTATCCTAACACTATTTTATATGCATATTTATGTATATTTGTATATTATTTTACATATATAGTAATACATAAAAATATATAGATATGTTTTACAGTTTCTGAAGTCTGAAGATACTCTACATTCAACCTGGGCTAAAAAAAGAATCTATTGGTTGACAAGGAAAAAAAGAAAGAAAATAAACTGCAGGATTTCCTATGTCAGTATGATACATTTGTGCATGGTAGTTTTTATCACACATCCCTAACCGGGATTTTGGAATGGAGGGCATGGAAGCAGACACTTTAAAGGAGGAAGACCATATGTCACAGAAGATTATCAGTGATCAGTACCATCTTCCAGTATAGTTGAGAAGGTCATACTTTCTTTATACCTGGATTGGATTGATGGTATGAGTGAGTCCTCCAGCAAGAACTGTCCACTTTCATACACTGAAGCCAGTGGTACAATGGACAACAGTAACGTCTCAACAGATAACTTGGGCCACAATCAAGCTTTTCAGCATACAAGGCAACTATATTATTCAACCAGCTCTGATTTTTTTTCTCAGAAGTTGAATTCCAGTGTAATCCAGGCTGGAATTCATGATGCAAATGACACTTCAGAAATGTTCACTCCTCCTCTGCTCCCTGCTTCAGAGCCTGGAATGAACCATTGTGCTCCCACATACAAAACCATGGAACAGGTTAGTTTGCTTTAAATAATCGCTGAATTTATAACTGCATATTTTGTATTTCTGATAATGGCACAACCTGTCCAGAAAGAAAGGATCAGTAGCTTTTGTGTCTGTGTTTAGATAGGAAGCTTTACTGGCAAGTACTGGGAAGTGTGTCCTAATCATGTGTCTGATGCTGTTGCTCTAATGCATCCATGCAATAAAGTGCTTTTCACAAGAGACAATTGATCAATTTTGCTCTTATTCATCTTCTTTTGTAGTTATTTCTATCTCTCTCCTTCTAATAGAAAGGATTGCACATTCTGGCTCCACGTTCTCATGTCTGTAATGGTTGTGGGGCATGTTCACTTTCTTGTTTCATATGTCTTTCTATCCATCCTCTTCTCATACCCCATGTTCTTTTTTTACAGTTTTTTTTTTTCATTTCTGACTTCTTCCTCTTCTTCTTAGCTTTGACAAAGTGATGGACAGAAGTAACTCCACAATATCTCTTCCACTGAATGCTTGATATGCTTCTTATAAGATAGTAAACAATACAGTGCCTTAGTTCTATATTTTAAAGAAACTCTTATGTTTCCAACACTGTTGAATTTAACATGTATCTATGCTGGAAGTTCTCAATCCTTTCTCCACTGGATGTCTATATTATTCCTTGGTTGTTGAAAACATAATCATGTAAGTAAAGCTGCAGTTAAAGATATCTTTTTGTGAATCCCAGGAGTCTGTTGCTTCTTTTCTTGGATGATGTAAACCACGTCATTTTGTTTAATGACCAGATTGTATCCTGTGATATTGTAAACTGTCAACAGCTGGTCATAAAATCTGACACTGGGTCTTAGCCATTCTTTGTTCTTTGATGCCTTTGACATTTGACTATGTGAATTACTTGAACTGTTCTTAAAGATTCTGGTAAAGAAAAAGTGACCTTGGGCTTTGCTTTGTTACATGGTGCTTCTCAAGTAATACCGGACAGAGAGACAGTAGAGTGAAAATGCTGCTTACAGGTAGACTGCTGGGAAGCTCCTGGCACAACAACAACATGAGTGTGTCTTTATGCTGTAAATTTTAGTTCTGGGACAGATCTGGTAGCTCACAATAAATAAATAGAAAAAAAAAGACCTATCACTTCCACTACTGATCTCTGGTAGTTCTTCTCAGTGGACAGGACAGAAGAAACAGATAACTGAAGGGAGTCAAACAGATGTAAACTAGGAAACTCAGAAAGTGAAGGTAACTTGATTAGATGTTTGCCTATGGGGAGGCAAGGGGCCTGCAAAAGGACTGCGGAATTTAGTCAGTTATTCTTCCATCCTTTTGACGCTAATTTCAGACCATGCTTATATTTCCTCCTAATTGCATCTCTGTTCTGTGGATATTGATTTTCAAAAGCTCTTGTTCATCAGTGATACTGGCAATTTTCATTTATCCTATAGTTCAGGAATGAAATGTTGAACATTGACACATTTTTAAGTTTTACAGTGAAGCTTGACCTGAGGGTATCATCTGCTCTGATGCTGTTCTAAAATCTTCTTGGTGTGAAACACAGGTGGACACTTCCCTCCCTTTTGTTCTTTAGCTTCTGTGAGAAGGAAATCTCAGCACATAGACCGGAAAAAAATGCCGTCTGATATGAGACTGAGTAACAAAACCTGGCAAGGCACATGCTGCCTGCACAGTGTCAGTGTACGAATTAATTCTGAGCTCTAAAATGGCGAGAGAATTTTAAATACAAATGACTATTAGAAGTAATACAGACTTTAAGAAATACCTAATCCCAAAATCCAGATATGGTGATTCTTTCTGATTAAAAACGATTCAGCTGTGTAGTTTGATACTATATCCTCATGATGTTTTCAGACTCCAGGGCAGCAGGACCAGCTGATGAAGAAGCAGATGGAGCAGTTGCAAAGGCTGGTGGCTGAACAGCAGAAAATCATTGCACTTTACAACCCAGGTACTAGGGGCATCCCTCCTGACACTGGTATCTGAACCTGCTGATGCTTTCACTCCAGAAGTGAAATGCAGTAGTTCTTTAAAGAAAGAGAAGGTTTAAGAGTTGTTTTAAATGGCTGGGGGCTCCTCCTCTGGAAGGTGGGCTAAAACATTTGCTCCTTTACACACACTGCATACAAGCTGTAAACTCCAGAAAACACCTTCTCACTTTTTTATATTAAAATTTCAGGAGAACCTTTAGGTTTAATAGCAGACCTCCTGTATAGACTTCTATTGAAGTATAATCTTGAATGGTAATACATAAAATTACAGTATTGTGGTAAAAGTACAGGAAAGCTGAAAAATCATTTTTCTTCTGTACCTATAAATGAAAGTTCCAGCTTCTCATGGGTAAAAGAAGAGGAAAAAGTCAACACACCATGCTTCTGTTAATCGACTCTTACTGTTAATAGTGCAGTCTGTTCCTAGCAGCATTATACAAGTCATTGAACAGTTTCATTTGACCCGTGGCATTGCTAGAAAACACCATCTACTCAGCGAGCAGAAAAAGAGGAACCCTCACTCCTTCCCACCACGTCTACAGTAGTGGCACATTCTTCTCAGTGTGCGACCCCAAAGTGAAAGAAGAATTTAGGCAAATCATGTAGACTTGTGACAGCATTGTCCTGGCTTTAGCAGGACTGCTTGTGCATAACATCAAGCAGGGAACATCCACAATGGTATAGGAAGGCCAGATGATTCTTGGATTGCTGCTGCTTCTCAGATAACTTTCTGTGGAGGCAACTTCACCTAATCTGCGTTCTAAGAACCTAAGCAGCCTAAGGCATGCCCAGCCTCTGTGCATTGATCTGGCATCAGTTTCTCAGTCTAATTTCAAGCTTCTTTGCTCAGTTGAGGAGCTGTGCAAGAATCCCATTATCCTAAGACCTCAGAGGAGAGTTAGGAGAACTAGGTGATGGCACCTTGCCTGCTAGAGTTCAGTGTAGCCTGAAGAGGTCTTACAAACAGCTTTTTAGAATTTAAAAACTATGTTTTTTTCAAAGATTTTTTACCATACATAGTATGACTAAATCCTCTCAGACAACTATGTTTTTGCTGTTCCTCCATGCACATTATAAAACACCTCATAGCACATGTAGCTCGACCAATTTGGAAGAGTTTTATTTATTTCAGTTGCCATATAAGGAACATCTGCTTTAACAAAGGTTCACTTAAAGCAATAGGCATTACTTTAGGCAAAGTAGTAATAACAAAACCACTAAGAATTTATGGCCTCTTGCTTTCCCCTCACCCCCTATCCCAGAAACTCTTACAGTTGGCACTTGTTAGTGGCTTTAGGGAAATATGACCTTAAATTATTGCTTCTGTAAAAGAAAATGAAATTTTAGCAAGTTTAATCTACCTCACAAATAAATATAATAGCTGTTGTTAGCTAACAAAATAAAGGGGCTTTTCTTCATTCCCTCTCAGCCTCATGGGTTCAGAGAACCTTCTATAGGAATGACAAAATGTTGGGTTGGATAAACAATGGACAACTAGATCCATTTGTAGCGAGTCAATAATTACAACAATCCCAGCGGAGGCAGAAAACTGGAATCCTTTATTGGATTCATGAGTTCATATTTAAAGGGTTTAGGATCTATATATTCAACAGGGGGTTGTAACTATTACAATTATTACAAACAGGGGTTTTCAGGGGATGACATAAGGGAAAAACCCAGGTTAACAAATTTGGAGTCTTAACAATTATATTATAGGGAAAAACCCATCTTATCTTAGGGGGATTACATGGGGGAAAGAGGTATTATTCAGGTTTGTAGAATGCACAGGATCCAGGGAACACAAAGGCAGAGATAAAACACAATAAGTCTTCTGCACTGGCTTGATGAAATCAGGGCATGGCTTCTCTGGGCTTGGACAGGACTTTCCAAACCCATGACATCAATGGGTCCTTGTATGGACTCTAGATGGAGGTTTTTCCCCAGTCTCTGTTAGCCCAAGGCTTTTGTTTAAACCTAGCAGTTTTCTTTTTCTCATATCCAAATTTTGGAATCCAACATTACACCATTGGGGTGCAGCAGGTGCTGGCGCTGAGCATGTTAACAGCAGCCTGAAAAGCTGTACGGCTGTCAGAGCTGCAGAGCATGCATGGAAGCAGTAGACGTACGCTGGGGTAGATGCACCAGGTAGGAAACAAGGGCCAAACACTGGCCACGCAGTGACCACTAAAAGCCTGACTTTCTGCAACTTAGGTTGTCTGTGTTGTGGGGTCTTTTCTGAGCTTCCTGATGATGCCAGCAGCGCAAAGCAATATGAGACTGAAGGGAATAAGACACTTGAGAAACAACACAGTGTCAGATCTGTTTGAAGGTCTTGTTTTCAAACTCGATGGTGCATGACAATCAGGGTTTTTGTTTGGGGGGATAAGCAGGATCTCAACCATCGACCCTACAGCCAGAAGCTAAACCACACCACCAGTGATACCAGCAGGCCTGGCTGTTGTTGTACTGATTTTCCTGATGGAGCTATGCCACTGTGAAATAGCTGCCAAGAGCAACTGCTGTATACTAGGGAGACAGCCTGAGAAAGAGAGAGAACGGAGGCTGTGGCTGCGTAAATGAAATCTTCATTATCCTGTTCTTTTTGCCTCAGAGAAGAGTCTGGTTGAAATGACAGGCAAATGCTCATCAAGTTGTCTGTGGTGACCAGGTGGAACAAGTACACAGTCTGTGATTTCCAAGTTTTCTAATCAAAGCAGAACATCCACAGAGAAATTATGCTGCTCATTCATGACTGGGCTTCGTGAACAAAGATTTGGGAAGGGCTCTACCTTTAGATGTATTCTGCAAGGCACGATTCTGAGTTGTCTTTTCTCCTCAAGGGTGATCCTGCGTGCTTTCTCAAAAGCATCAGCCCTGCCCAAATGCCACGATTAGCAAGGTGTTTGTTGTTACTTCCACCAGTTCACCAGGAACAGAACCATTAGGCTGCACCACTTTTTTTGGGTTCTCGGGAAGGACTGAAGTGTGAGAAGGAAAAGTGCCTTGAGTCTGCTATGGTTCATCGTACAAACCTCTCTTCCCCCTGCCCCAGTTCTGTAAATCACTTGACACATTTCTGAAGAAAGTAAGTACAGTTAGTACCATGAATTCAAGACCAAGCCCATACAGTAAGAAATATTTTTATAGGATGCTATTTGGGTGTATTTGCATATCCAGCTACATTTAGCTAATGTATAAAGCCATAGACAAAATGCTGACCTGAATGAAAAGCTGACCAAAATCTGCACTGGAAGCTCTTATTTGTTACTAGAGGCAGTGTAGATTGAGAGTAGCAAAAGACACTGCATGATTTGGTCCAATTAAGCTTTAAAGAAGTAAAATATGAAGAACTAGTTAGGCTATGATTTGTCTTATTATAGTAAAGGTAGTTGCTTTAATATTGCCATGCATTTAAACTAATACAGTGATCAACAGTAAAATCAAACCTTCATTGAACTACAGATTGTCATTTTATTCTCACATGGAACACAGGCAGAAGTGGCTCTGCCCACCTGCTAGCTGCATGGGTGAAGAGTCTGCCCAGAAGTAGCGAGTTGGGATCTTCCTGAGTCTGTGCCAGACGGGATTCAAATTCACGGATCAGCCTTTTTCCAAAAAATACCTTAACTAGGGGTGAGGCATTTTCAGCCTCAGCCATTCTCTTTCTACTTATTGAAGTCAGGTCACAGGGCAGAGAGGAATCTTGGTGTGAAGAAAGAAAATAAGAAGCGAATGTAATTTTGTAACCTTATAAAGGAGTTTCTTTCCCAGAAGTAGTGAACCTGGACTTTGGTCCCTGTGCAGAACTGCTTGTGTCTTTTCCACATAGTCTTCTAATATAATGTGTAACAAACCATCCAGAGCTAAAAGGAAAACTTTCTCCTCTTTTGCATTATGATGTGGCTCAGAGATACTTTGCAATACCTAACTTTTACCTCCTAATGGACTTAAGGAGTCCTAGGGGAAATGTTGGGTTTTTTACATGCTCGGGAGTACTTTGTATATTCTATTTAATTCACCATACCTGTAGTATATGATAACTTTGGTTACAACTGGTGGTAGCAGCAAGCTGTAAAATTTATTTTACAATTTAAATAAAATAACATAAACAGAATTTGGTTGTTTCATCCTGAACATGCAAACCACCGGTGAACATGAAAGCAAAGTGGGTTTTGTGCAATAACAGTTTAGCAAGAGATTTTTAGTTCAATGCAAAATATTTGTCTTAAACTTCTCTAATTTTTCTTCTCTGGCAACTATTTTTAGGTTTTTCTGTTTCTCCTGGGACACTTTCTCACCTAGTAGCCACGATGCCACCCCTTCCATGCTTTCCAGCTACTTTCATTCCTGTCCAGCTCCCATCAGGAAATTCTTGCCAAGCTGAGAGCCCGGAATTCTTACAGACCTCTCTCTTGGCAATGCACTCTGCTTGGCAAAGCAGATCCCCGGTATTCATGCCAAATGAGAGCAGTTCAGAAATCTCAGGAGAACATGTGCAGCTTTCAGATTCAGGTAGGTAAAAAGTGCTGGAAATCTAAACCTAAGTCTATTGTGCAACTCCTCTGAATTTTTGCCGTTACTAGTGATTGTTACTGGTTTTATTGTAGTTCGGGGAAGGTGCTTTGTTTTTATTGTGGTTTGTTATAAAAGCTTTTAAAGCATTTTAAGCTTGACTTTTTTTTAGTTTTTGAATCACAGTCATCCTATCTGTCACACTGAATGAAACTGGACCTTGTGGATATAAATGGATTTACATTGGAAAAGCTAAGTTATATAAAGTAGGGAATATGTTGTATTCAGGGGAAGACACATAAGAAGTAGGATGTGGATATAGCTTCCAAAGGTGTGAGAATGTGCTTCTTAGCTAAGAGGGCCTTGTCTTTTTTAACAATCTTGATGTTTCTCACACTGATATGGAATCACATTGTTCAGAGTTAAAACAATGTTAAGTTTCTACTTGGCATCTTTTCTTTGTCAGCCTTGTCTTCTGTGGGAAGATACCAAAGGGTTAGAAAGAATAAAAACAATTTTCAAGAAATCAAAAACTGATTTCAAAATGGGGGGAAGAGGAACAAAAAGAAGTCAGAATAAAACAGCCTAAAAGGGAAGAGAATGTAAATTAGACAGGTATCATGAATTCATTTGAACTTCTATAACAACATCTGACTGTGATGCTGTCACACAGTCCCATAGTACAACTGAAATTTTAATTTCATATTTTCCAAGACAGCTCAGGACACGTACTCTCACGGATAGAGTCTTGTCTCCTTCTTGTACCTGAAACTATTATTTTATTGCTGGGTTAAACTGAATGTGGATCAATTGCCCAGTGAAGTTTATCACAGAGCTTCAGAAATACTTCTGCCAGTACAAATGAGGGGAGTGAAGGGGTGGTCTATGGGTGGATGAATCACAGAATCACAGAACCACAGAATAGTTAGGGTTGGAAGAGACCTCTGGAGATCATCTAGTTCAGCTCACCTGCGAAGGTAGGGTCACCTAGGGCAGGTTACACAGAAATGTGTCCAGGTGGGTTTTGAATGTCTCCAGAGAGGGAGTCTCCATGACCCCCCTTGGCAGCCTGTTCCAGTGCTCTGCCACCTTCAGTGTAAAGACATGTTGAGGTGGAACTTCTTGTGTTTATGTCCCTTATTCCCTGTCCTGTTGCTTGGCACCACTGAAAAGAGTCTGGCACCATCCTCTTGATACTCACCTTTCAGATATTTGTATGTATTGGTGAGATCTCCTCTCAGTCTTCTCTAAATTAAACAGGCCCAGCTCCTGCAATCTCTCCTCATAAGAGAGATGCTTCAGACCCCTAATCATCTTTGTGGTCTTCTGCTGGACCCTCTCCAGTAGCTCCTTGTCTTTCTTAAACTGTGACAACCAGAACTGAACACAATACTCCAGATGTGGCCTCACAAGGGCTGAATAGAAGGGGAGGATCATGTCCATCAACCTGCTGACCAGACTTCCTGATGCACCTCAGGATTCCATTGGCACTCCTGTCCCCAAGGGCACACTGCTGGCTCCCAGGTCCCTTCAGAGCTGCTCTCTAGGTGGTCAACCCCCAACCTCAACAGATTCTGGGGTTATTCCTCCCCAGGTGCAATATCCTACACTTGCCTTTGTTAAACTTAATTGGGTTTCTATATGCCCAGCTCTCCAGCCTATTAAGGTCTTCTGAATGGTAGCATGGCCTTTCGGTGTATCAGTCACTCCTCCTCAGATTCGTATCAGCAGTATTTTTGCTTAGAGTGCATTCTATCCCTTCCTCCAGGTTGTTGATAAACAAGTTGAATAAGACTGGACAGCAGGAATATATTAGGACAGTGGGAGGTATGACTGCTTTTTTTTAAAGCAATGCTGACTTCGACCTGCCTCGTGTGTAAAACTAAGGCTTGAATGTGCAGAGGCCTTAGTACATCAGGGTAACTTCTTACTGAAAGCTGGTCAACGCAGCTGTCTTTGAGATATTCTTCAGTTGAATATGTGCCTGAGGACTAGGCTGAGCTGACAATTTCCCAACTGTGTGGGTTTTTATTGCTGGAAACATAAGCATAAGCATATCAATAGTTTGTATAACACTTTACATTCTTATTTAAAGGTATAAGCACTGAACCGCTGCTTCAGTCTACAGAGAGTCCCACAAAAAACCTTTCCAGACAAGATGCTCAAGAAGAGAACAGAAAAGAAAAGAAAGGTGAATATAACAGCTGCTTGGATACATTGTTCTTGCCTTGCACTGGGAAGCACAAGTTGAAAATTACAGAGCTTAGGCACCTCTCCTTATTAAAGCATTCTGGAGACAGCACAGCCCCATACCTAAGACTGGGAAGGAACACATGGGTTCTGCATCCCTTGCTGCTGTCAACCTACTGTGTCACTTTTGACCCCTCTGCCGTATTCTGGTGCAAGACAGGCAAGCAAGTTGCAGAAACTGCACTGCTTGTCTGCCATTAGACTGGAGATGTTTGGTGTATAACTGAGAAAGTCTGAGGGATGAATATAAAACTTTTGTATTCCTGCTGTTGGACCAGAAAGTCCTTTCAGCATGTTGCAAAGGACTTCAGTAGCACTGCTTGCATTTATATGATTGAGCTATATAGTTCCTGCCTACAGCAACAGTTCATAGTATGAATGAGCAAATAAAGGCTTTCTGCTCCAGCTTGACCTGAAGGAGAAACTCAACACTAGGTGACACTCAGAAAAAAAATTAATTGAAGTGGAAGCCGGTTGCTTGTGGTGAACATACTCAATAAGCTTCAATAGGAAGATGCACAAATCTGCCTGGTTAGAAAGTCTCGTGTACAAATACTGACTGTTAAACTGTTCAATGAACTGGTTTGCAAGTCACATAATTATAGATACATAAATAATTCAGTACTGTCTAGCAGTGCCTACACTACCACATTCTGCGGTGAACACATTAAGCAAGCATTACAAATCTCTAGAGATAAGGAGTACAAAGCATACTATTTGTCTTTTCCATGTTTCCAGCACTAGACTTGAGGATGAGAAGCCTCTTTTTTTCACAGATTACATCCTTCCACCTACATAATTCAATTGTATTCTGTAAAATGTTTTCAAAAATTAAAACCTTGCCTATGTTCCTGAAAATACAAATATTTCTAATTATTTTATGATATTTATTTTTCATTTATTCATTCTGTAAAGACTTTGTTTACACTGACCTTTTTCCTGCTGCTTAGATAGCAGTCAATTAAAAGAAGGTTTCTCTGAAGCTTTTTCTGCTGCCAAAGAAGAACAAAGAGAACAACTAAAGGAGGAGATTTCTCCATCTCTCTTTGTCATAGAGGGGAAGATAAAGACTGGAAGCATAGAAGACAGGTGAGAAATGATCTTAGTCAGTCCATCAAGCTACAAAAACATATTTTCCTTGATTGTATATGTAATGTATGTGTTATATTTGCAACATGATGGTTCTTTCCTCTGCTTGAGAGTGGCAGATATGCATGGGCAGAAACTGGACAGGTCTACGGCCCGTCAGTTGATCTACTTCTATGTAATAGAATGTTGGTCTAGCCAACTTAAATGAACTAGTTTTGTAAGTATGATCTTCAAAGGATAGAAGTAAGGCTAAAGTTGGCAGGGAGAGATAACATCCTCTGATGTACCATTACTTCTGCAGTAGCCATCATTATGTGTTGGTAGCTCATTCATTCTTGTCCTTCCTCTGCCTCTTCAGCTGTGCTGGGACCATTTTTTATATGCCTGTATGTTAACAAGTCAGTAAAGTAATCCTTGTTAAAATTATCTGTACAGAGGAGAAATGTAACATTTAACTTGGATCATTGCAAAAGGAACTGTACTAGGACACTGAGGGGGTGCTCACAATGAGGCAAAAAGGGGTAGGTTGGCAGATAGGAGCAGCAGATGCAGATAGGAGCAGCAGGTCTTTGGCACACTGAAGCTTGATCAAGTATAAAACAGAAGTGGACAACTTCTAGGAAAGCACAGATGGAGAGTAATTGTCATGAGTGTGGGAACTGGACAGAGAAGGAAGACAAGGACCTCCAGATCAGAAGACTGGGAAGAGGTGGAAGGACAGTAAGCACATTTGGACAAACGGGCCTGTCCGCATATGCCTTTCTGGATCAGCAATGAGCTTCTGAAGTCTATCTCCCAGCCACCCCTACTTGTTGTGCTTTGGTTCACATTGTGTCGTTGGTATGAACTGGATGAAACTAAAGCACAGAATTTACTCCTGCTGAATGTACTCCAGTTCTTCCTGACATTTTTGCTATGGTAACAGGCTATAGTTGGTTTGAAGCAAACTTCCCTGAAATGAGTATTGTCTAATCTTGAGTCATCTTCAGCAACAGTTTTGGTCTATGGTGCATGATAACAGACAGAGACAGACTGACAAATGAAAAGATTATCCATGGTACAGTGGTGTCAGGTAGAGGTGGGGTATAGAAAGAACAGTGATGTGCTGCATAACCAGCAGAAAACCCAGAATTTTTAATATTCAGCTGAAATTATTAGTAAGTGACTAAACTTAGGCTCAAGCCCATTTCCAATTTCATACATTCATATATGCTGTATTATGTTTCGAGTCAGCCTTCATTTTGGCCCTCTACAATGTTACAGATATTATTTTTTCTACTCTATCACCCTTCACCATCTAATTCAAACCACTCTATCAGAAAGATAGTGAGTTCTTTCTGACTGTCATTAGCTCTAGTCTGGAGAAATGACTGAAATATTTTTCTTTTTAACTATTGTCTATTTTTAAGGAAAGACTGATACCAGACCAAAAAATGTTGCTTGCTAAAAGTATAATTAATGCTTAGGCTAGACAGGATGTTTTAAACTGAGACTTAGATTCACACAATAGTGAGATTTTACTAACATTCTTCACAGTTTAATAAAATTGAAGAGAACATTTACAGTTCTAAACTCCACATCAGCTGCAGAAGAATTATCAAAAGAAAACTAATTGGAGAACCTTAAAAATAAGTACCTTCTTGTTACTTGCCTAGGCCAGTCACATCAGCAATTGGTATTAGACAGAAGACTTCTGAAAAATTTGTTGAAGAGCAACTTAAAGCAGACAATCATCTCACAGAGAAACAGCACAAGGAGCAACAGGTATTGTTGCCGTTGGTTCATTGACTTGGATTTTGACAAATTCTCATGGACTTAGGTATTGTGTGGGTTCTGTTTTGGCGTGGTAGCACATTTTTCCACTATTCTTTCACATGATATTGGAAGACTTTTCCCCAAAGTAAAAAAACCCTGTATTCCCCTACTGTTTCCCACTGGATTCTTTCCACATATTTTCTGGGTCATAGTTCATGCCTGAGTCTCAAGATACTTAGCTAAATTAGACATCAAAGTTGATTCTGTTATTTTTTTCCATAATAAATGGTCTCTCATGTGCTACTGATGTGACAATGAGGGCATTTCCAAATACAGTTTTTGTACCAGGGACAAGTTCAGTAACACCGTTCTGCTTTTCGCTGTGCGTGCGGTTTGAGATGAGCTTATTCCTGACACCTCTAGGTGTCAGACTCAGCATTTTGTTAGGCTTGGTGAGTTGGAAGATGTACATCTCAGGAATGTACATCACTCGAATTTTCTTTATGTCTCCCTGGCAAAAACATCTCAAACTGGTGCATTTATATATTTCTGTGTCACTTGAACTTCCTTTGAAAATGAAGAAAGGCCGAACTTTTATCATCTTCTATCATGTAGCCATTTAACACCATCTTAACCCTTTTACTCTACTACTGAATGAATGGAGGCATCACATAGTGACTGCTTCTAAAAGTTCTCATGCCTTCCCCATAGTCTCAACGCTATTTCTTATGTACTCAGTTACCCATAGCCAGTGTCTTTAAGACTTCTGATAACTCATCTTTTTCAATTATGGTGAATATCTTCCTTTCTGGAGAATGATTCTCAGACTGTGATTCTCAGGATTTAATTTTTTTTTTCCAGAGCAAGGCAAAAATAACATCTCTAAAGGTTTCTCTGAAACGAAGAGAAGTTATGGCAAGGTTCAAAAAAATTAAACAGAAGACTGTAAAAGAAGACAGCAAGCATTCCAGAAGAGCTGGGTTGAATCACTGGGGTAATTTCTTCCAGTCTGGCCAAGTGAACACAGGTATACTGCAGCCGGGGGAATGCCCCCAGTTAAATCTGCAGGTCAGTAACTCCGTACGGATGGATACACATGAAAAAAAAGCAGACTGTGCTTTAGCTGAGTGGGAGATAAAGACTGACTGTGAAGCAAAAGTAGCTGAGCAAAGTGCAGAAGAAAAACAAGTCATTGGGAGAGACGAAGATTCAAAAAAAAATCCTGTTGACTCATCACAGAGAAGATGGCCTGAAATCCTGCAACCATGTCCTGAAACAATTACAGGCATGAACCTACAAGTGGTTGAGGAAAGAGAAACTCATCATATGGATTCTCTAGGACAAGCAGGCAGAACTGATGGAAGACCTTTGGAGAGTACCCTGACAAAGGACCTAGGTAGGGTGGATCAGTCTGTGAAGGGTCACCTCATAGATGGAGCAAAAACCCCCTTGGAATTCCTGCAAAGGCATTATCCACTCCAGGATTTAGAAACAGATTGTATCAAGGAGGCAGAGTGCAGTGGAGGCCCTGCATTCACATGGGGTCAGAAGTGGGTTCAGGTATGCCCACAGGAACTTGTTTTGGGGAGCCAGAACTCAGAAAGTGAAAGACAAATCCATACTGGGTTTAAGATGGTCAATGACAAGATAATAAAAATTACATGTAACCCACCTGAGGCTGCGGAGAAGGGAGGGTCGTCCTCAGCTTTGCAGCAAAAGTGGCAAAGGAAAAGAACAGTTGCCTCGACGTGCCAAGTTGCGTCTTTGTCCTGTGAGTCAAACTGCTCATCTCGCAACAGTGATGATAATCCCAAATCTCACCATGTTCAGCATCCCTCCCAGCATGTGACTCAGAGAGTAGATCACACTGACAGACATTTGGATCTCTCTGATGGTCACTATGCTAGTGATGAGTCCAGTGGAACAGAAAAAATGTCTGCTAAAATGTACAGCAGATCACCACCAAGAAAACAAGGTCTTCAAGCAATCTCAGGACAGCAAGATCTCTCCTGCAGCACAAGCAGCAGTGATTCTAGTACTGGGACTGTCTGTCTGAAAGGGAGCAAGGCTCGCTCTTCTCTTCAGGAGTCCCTATTTCATCGTACAAGACTGAAAAGAAGAGAGCACAAACCTGAATCAAAGAATGAGAATAGGGACAGTGGTGTTAAAAACCTACATCTGCCATCCTCGAGAGTGGCTCATGAGATTCCTATTTTCAAGATTAAAGAAATCCCTGAAGTGGAGGAACTACAGAAAAAACTGTTTACGGACACATTAGGTAAAAGCTACCCAAGTTTTTATTTACATTTATTTTTCATTGGGGAAGAAAATTTCTCTTGGATTTATGACTCATTCTACCTGTGCTCCCTTGATATATGCCCTCCTTTGTTAGTATTTCTCAGATCTAAACTGGAAAAAAAAAAGAGAAAAGGGAGGAGATAAATCTGCAAGCCCCTTGCTTTGCTTAGCTCTTCATCATCACTAGTCATTTTTCCTAAGTCTGTTGTTTAAGGTGCACTTTCAGACAAAGACTTTTGATCTCATGAGATGGGGGAAAGGTTCGGTGAGTCCTTGAAGTCATTGCTAGAATTCTCTGTGGCGCTTAGGTATGACTGACTCGACACTGAGATGTTCACATTCTTTATTTAATTTCCTCAGAGAAAACAATACATGATTTTTAAGAAAGTGGGCAAAATAATTTCTCAGATTTGCAGTTTTGCTCCTAAGATATGGAGAGCCTTGCATTGGTGGCAAATTATGATTTCCTAAGAACTTCTTCACTCAGTTTGTCCTGAATGTGGCCCTAGTTCTTTGGTCAACCAATATTTCTCGCTTTTTGGCCCAGTGATCTTACTTCTGGCAATGAAATTGCAACATGCTTAAGCAGGATTTAGTCCTTTTATTAAACAGTTTCTTGACTTCTCTCTTAGTTTCCACTGAAGGACTTCCCCCACATTGACTACTCATCCCAAACCCATTAGCTGTCTCTTTGTGTAGGATCAGTCAAAATCAGTTGTCCTGTCCTGAGTAATCGCCAGGGCAGAAATATTCACTTCTCATGGTTCTCAATTGCTCTGTCACAATTTAGTAAGCACACTCTACTCCGTGTCAGACTGATGTCAAAAGAGGGTTCCTGAGGCCTCTTTGAAGGTTACATTCAAACTAAAGTTGAACTATCATTGGCATTCACATTCCTGAAAAGGAATTCAGCTACTGACACTAATATATCCCAAATTTGTTTCACTTTCTTGATTTGTAGGGCTTGAGTTGCACTGCAAAGAGATATGCTGGGAATGGAATACTTGCATAATTAAGCAAAGATACATTAATTCTTTTTGATAGATTAAGCAATAAAACTTACCGCACTCATGCAGTCTGTGGTTTTAAATACACAGAGAGGGTTCATAAATATTCACAAAGTTTTGTGTACTAACATAGATGTCTTTACAGAAGAAACCCAGAACATCCTTAGCAGAGGATTAGAGACTGGTAATAACAGTGGAACCCCTTCACTGACTGTGGTGAATGAAAATGATGAGAAAACAATGCATTTTCACAGGTAAATCTCTATACACTAGCAGTTGATTTGTGTGTGCAGTGAGACAAATATTTCTTTTACAATCCTTAAAATCAAGCTGCTAAATTCTTGCTTATCGGTTATCTTCTTTTCAAGGGCATCTGTATTGTTTCATAACTGAAACATTTATTTAGCTGTCTAGATTCATAGTAAAGCACCTAACTGAAGGAGGCCAGCTCTGAAGTCACTGTTGCAGTTTGGGTCTTAAAGCCGAATAACTCCAAATGCTTTTCATAAGCTGCTGAATATCTTCAGATTACAGTGAAATAAGTAAGAACTCAAGATAATTTTTGAATGCTGAAAAGGTTTTAGTTTGTAGTTTGTTTGGTATTTGTTTACTTCTTCAGAGAAGAAAAATAAGTTCTTGCCACATAATCCCAGCAATAAATAATTTTTAAACTATGAGGTTTGCAATGCCAATTCCTCTAATAAAAATTGAGTTTACTTACAATCAAATCAAATACATATTTTTAATGTGATGAAATCTGTTAGAAATTACTAGATACCATCTACTGTAAACACAGAAAAGATTCTTTTCCTCTTTACATTTCAAGCCTAGTTCTTAACTCGTATGAAATTAACATAATTTATTGATTTGGATTTTTTAATATATAATGCAAAGTAAGAAATTATTTTTCACATCTTCTTGTCCATTCCTCCTAATTTCAGAGAGCATGGGATAAGTGCAAAAGGAGATAGAATTACATTTATCAGTATGTATCATTTCCTCCTATAGCTGTCTTTAGCAAAATACTTTCAATGTCTTAAAAAAAAAATGGTTTCGTTAAAGATCCTTCTTGCTTGTGACCTTGCAAACCTACTGGAAGATGATATCTGGCTGACTGTGATAGGTGATCTGGATGTGAATATTAGCGGGATTTAGCATTTCATAAAACTGTTAATGAAACTAAGTGCTGCTTTTACCAGTGTAAATTTTGACTCTGGAGTGATGTCCTGGTGCAGAATTACTGCAGTGCCAGACTCTGCCAGGACTGCATTCTCTGCCTGCTGACAGTGCTGCCTTACAGGTGAAATTACTTTGATTTTTCTCATAATAATGCAGGTTTTTAAAAGAACTTTCCATGGATTTATGCATGTCATTAGCCATAGTAGCCCCTACCATTTCCACACAAATGTTTATCCAAAAATGTCACCCTAGTACAGCGTGTACATCTTTTCTTTTTTTTTTTTTTTTTAATTTAAGAGAGAAAACTAATTGCAAAAGGCAGCTTATCCTCCCTGGCTATGTTGGCCCTGTGGTGATTTATGCAATCCCAAAATCTGCTTTGTATTTTTAAATGAGTAACCCTATCAGGAATCAGTTCCCTATTAGGAACACAAGATGACTGCCACATTGATAGCAGTTGACTTGTGCTGCGTTGACAACTTGTGCTCACTGGAAGCAATGAAAATCTTTTTGAGAGCAGCATGACATGCCTGAACCTGCCCAAACTATCCGTTCTTTTGTTTCCAAGTACTTTGTTTTCAGACCTTTTCAGGCAGAAATAACATGAGCAAGAGAGTAAGAACAGTTGGGATATAGCATGTTGTGTGTATCAGGTATCTATTGGAGTCTGGACAGCACTCAAGGCATCAGCCTGTGGGGTCTACCCCTGCAGCACTGAAATAGCTGCTGATGGCGTTTGGCATCAGCCAGACTATTCAGTGATGGTTATTTTTCGTTCTTTCAACAAGGACAGCTTATTTGCCATTTTTAATGCATAATTTTCTTGTAGAATGGAATCGGGATGCTTTCTGGACCAACAGCAGTAGCCAACGTGGTTGGTTTATTTTTTCCCACCTGCTTTTGACTGAAAAACTTTTTCTTGGAAAAAAAGGCTTTTGCTTAATGTGTGTTTTTGCCTCACAGACAGCTTGCTGCGATGTGCCTCATGCAGAGGTGTGCCTGGGATGAAAGCAAGAATTTGAGTTTGCATAAAGTGTTTAGCCTTTTTTAATGTATTTTCTATCTGTGTTCTGGACCTATCTCCTATTTACAATTTATAGCTGGGGTATGAACTGTTTGTCAGAAGCTCCAAAGAAGTATTTTGAGTGCTCCTCGTGTTATTGGTTATTACATTACCTCAGGTCAGGATCTGTTTTCTAGCCTTGACTTAAAACTGTACTATTCAGTCTTCAGAGGAAAATGTTACACATGTATCTTGCTTTTCTTCTAGTACATTGTATTTCAGAGTTACTAGTCTGGATATGGAACAGTGGCAGGCTGGACATAATTACACAGGGACTCTATTTGCTAATTTAATTGGATTAATTTGAGGGGAATTAATACTTCTATTGACTATTGCTGAGGCTTTCTTTAACATGCCTTTAACTAGAATATTAGTTAGGCTTATTTAGAATAGAAAACAACAAAAAAATTAGGTAATGCATTAAAAAGAGCAGTAGGATATGAGGAGTTGTTTTTTCTCTTAGTATCTTTGAGAACTTTTGTATTTTGCTCCTGAGGTGTTAAACTGCATTAATGAGAGGGAAACATGAGGTCATGGCTACCTCCTGTAATTTGCATTGCTTTTCAAGTAATAGTCATGGACAGATGGTGGCTGTAGGTCATGAAGTGAGCTGGGAGCTCACTTTATTTGTTAGCAGGAAGATGACAAATAAGTTACAGAATCACAGAATATGCTGAGTTGGAAGGGACCCGCAAGGATCATTAAGTCCAACTCTTAGCCCTGCACAGGAACATCCCTGAGAGTCACACCTTGTGCCTGAGAATATCATCCAAATTCTTCTTGACCTCTGTCAGGCTTGGTGCTGTGACCACTTCGCTGGGGAGCCTGTTCCAGTGCCCGACCACCCTCTGGGTGAAGAACCTTTTCCTAATATCCAATCTAAACCTCATCTGACACAACTTCAGATCATTCCCTTGGCTCCTGTCACTGGTCACCACAGAGAAGAGATCAGTGTCTGCCCCTCCTCTTCCCCTCATGAGGAAGTTGTAGGCTGCAATGAGGTCTCCGCTCAGTCTCCTCTTCTCCAGGCTGAACAGACCAAGTGACCTCATATTAAAAATGAACTAAACAGTTAGATCAGTCATATAAACTCTGTTTGAGGATATGTAAAGGTTTGTACTGTCCCCTCTTGTTGGGCTTTTAAGTGCACTTCCAGATCACTCATGCCTTGAGACAGTAAGTTCAAAGGCAAAATCTCTTCTGGATGCTGAACTCCCACATTTAACTCTTGGAGTGTATTTACCTGTGGAAAGTGAAGTACCTTATCCCCTTTCATTCAGGTCCATGGCTAATCTGATTTGTAGTAATGACTGGGCTGCTGGAAATACAGCTTAGTCCCCAGCCTTGCATGATGCAGTGCTTCACAGATGCAATGACAGGGAACAAGCTGTGCCTTCTGCAGGTCTTCCTTAATTTAGCAATCGGTCTGAATAGAAAATGTATTTAAAAGCCTCTAAGTTCATGGTCATTATGTTGTCAAAAATTTCAATTAGAATTGTTTCCAGCTGCTAAATAGAATAAATTTTATAGCTGAATGCATGCATGAGTGTTCCCAGTGAGGAAGTACCTTTGACAAGTGCTGATAACTTCTTGCCACTTCCAGCAGTACCAGCATATAAGGGACATGCCCAAGCCCTCAAAAAATCATGCCCGAAGAAGGTACATGTAATAACAATCCTTCATTACAGTCTTGTATGCCAGCTTCATACTCTTTGTTTACCTTCTGAACAGAACACGGATAGACCAGCCCAAGACTGTCAGGAGCCAGGAGCTGACTCACACCTTGGAACACAATAGAGATCAAACTCACCCACTGCAGAAAGAAAAAATTGCCCAGAGCAAGTTCAGAAGAACAGCTAGAGTCACTGAAGAAAATGTGAAATCAGAAGAAATACAAGTAAGCTGTCTTCTGTAAAATAAATATGCAATTTATATCAATTAGTATCCTTGCATTCAGACATCTTATGGTTGTAACTGAATCCTTCCATTTGTCCCACATGGCAAATTATTCATGCCACGTCTTGAGGACAGTTGTGTGTACAGTGAGGATTTTTGATGTTAATAGGATGGTTTTTGGTTTGTATTTTAAATGTACATCCCTTTTTCTTTATATAAGAAAAAAATAGGTTGTGCCTTCCATTTCTTAAGAAAGGCTGGGAGGTTCGCATGTTCCTTATTCTTCCTTGTACTGATTTGCCCAGCTGAGCTGACTCTTGAAAAATTTCCAACTCCTGGCTTAGTGGGCTTTGTATCTTGTTGACATTAGGACCAATTGTGCCAAGTGCAACAGAGTTAATGGCCATCATTCTCTATTCTCATCCCTGAGGTGAGTGTTAATTTTTTTCCTTAAACTATCCTGATCTTTGGCTTTGAGGTATTTTTATGATATCTAGCTCTATGTCTAACAGTCTAACCTGCCTAATAACATCCCTGAATCATTTATTACAGTTTCTTCTAAGTTCCTTTAGGGGATTCTATCTGTTTGAATCCTCTGTTTCAGCCTTCCCAGTGATAAAGTCATCTCCAATTATCTGTGGCCATTCTCCCTATTAAAACCAGCTAGACATAATATGACTTAAGGGGCAATTTTCTAGGAGAGTCACTGATAAAGAGAGAAAAAAATGGTGAGCTATGTGAAACAAATAAAGGAGTTGGGGCAGCTAAAAGCTATATTTTTATAGCAGAGAACAGTAGGCAGTGGTAATGCTCAGAAATGTCTGGAACAATGTTCTGCTGCAAAAGGATGTCTAAACCAAACTGATATATTTGACAGCAAACTGACAACTTCAATTATTTTCTTAACCAGAAATGTTTCAGAACACTCTCAGGCACATGGTGTGACTCTTAGGGATGGTCCTGTTCAGGGCTAAGGGTTGGACTCGATGATCTTTGTGGGCCTCTTTCAATTCGGCATATTCTGTGATTCTGTGAATGATTAAAACTGCCAAGATAGTATTTTGTTCAAACTTTCTGTACCTTCTTTATTTTTCATTTGTACATTTTTGAAATACTTATTTTTGTACTATACACATAGTTAATGTTTTCTCTGCTTATGTTCCACATTTCTCTAGAAGTAACATTTACAACAGGAAAGGTTTCAGTGAGGTTATTTTAGTATTTTGAATAAAAATATTTTGAATGTCCTCTCTGCAAAATATTTTAAAATATCAGCTTTCTTTCCACTCGGGATTTAAAAAAAATGGTAGCATTTCTGCCAGGGAATATCTGTGTTTCCTGACTAGGTCTAACCCTAGGGATGAAGTCTGATAGAATTGTTTTAATCTTTTGTGTTGATCTGATAACATAATGAGTGTAGGTTCAAAAATTTAATTTTCCACAAAACAAACCCAAAACACTTTCTGAGTCACTTATCTGTGTGATTCTCAAGTTCTGAGTCTGCTGCTTCTTGGAAATGGCTGATGATGTGCCAAATTCAGAGCAGGGAGCTCACAACAAAGAAAGAATGGTGACTAGGAAGTAAATGGGCAGACACACAAGTGCAAGGGAAGTAGGAAAGGATTGCATATGAAAATTGGTTGACTGCAGGGCAAACTGCAAATTTCTATCTTGCCTCCGCTAATATTCCATTTGCAATATTCAGCATGAGTGCCCTTAAGGAAGAGGACTCAGTGTTTGCATCAGCATGGGCAAGGGAAGAAAGGACAAGGGAAAATTGATGGAGATGGATTTATATGGAAAAGTCCTCTCCAAATTTCATTACTTTCATTTTCACCTCTCTTGAAAATTGTCTTTGCAATCCTCTGCTGTTTGTAAGAAGCATTTTAACTATTCTTTGTCACCACATGAAGATCTGAACTGACATTTTTGTTATTAAAATATATCTTGTATTCTAGCCTTTTTTGAAAGACATTTACATTTAATGATGATTGTTTGCATGATTAGTTTGTATTTCCTGTTTTTTTTCACACAGCACAGACTTTTCTCAGCTCACTTTGTAACAATATAGGAGTTCAGAGGGCAGTGGGATTTTTTACTATTTTGGGGGGGTTTGTTTGTTTATTGACTTTTATGAAATAATTTCAAATATATTCTTTTTTTATTGCAGACCTTTATAGTGTAGACCTTTAAGCAGAACAAAAGACTCCATACTTCTTTCTGAATGTGTAAGGTGGGCATGCCTAGTTCAGAGCAGGCAATGAGATGGAACACTTTTTTTTTTTACTGATAGGTACTAAAGCAGCAGATTGCCGGACTGCAGGAGGAGTTCAAGAGAAGTGAGTCCTGCTGGCGTGCTGCCTACAGCAAGCTGAGAGACCAGGTTGAGTTGCTGACCAGGCAGAACATGGAGCTTCGAGATGAGCTCAGAATTTCAGAACATCAGAGATGGAAAGCAGAAAAAAACCCAAAAGCTGTGAATTTTTTGGACAGAAAATCAGAGACCCCGGTACTGGAAGATATTATCTGCTTAATACTGTCTGAAAAAGAAAAATTCGGGAGTAGTTTTATTTTGGAGCTGTCATATGTGAATACTGGTCCTCCATTCCTCCCATGCTTAGCCTGAAGGGGAAAGTCAGTTCTATAGTAAGCCATGTTAAAATATATGCTTTGTAAATATACTCTTTGTAATTTTTTTTTTCAGTATCCCCCTTGTTTAGCATACTTGTAGGGTTACTTGTTACCTTACTATATAACTGAATAACTTCTTGTAAGAGAGTTAAAGGAAGTTAAAGTTGCCCACTTCTTACACAGCAGACAGCAAGTCTTGGTGAAATTAAATGGTTCAGACTAGAATTCAAAAGACAGAAATTTGGTTTAAGTGGGTAATTTAATTTCCTTGTGTATTCAAGGGAGACAAATACATGCTTTGATGGATCACTCATCCTATGTGTGTCAAGGCAACTAGAACAAATAATTATCTTCTAGGTGGTACAGTCTGGTGAGATGAATCCTACTCTTCCACAGAATGGCTGAACCTAGAAGAAAATAAAATTGAGCTATTTACTGCTAAGCATTTCCCTAATTTTCAAATCTAATTTCTAGTAATGTATCTTCAAAAGATGTTAGAACCACCAATTAACCTGTCCTTTACCTTATGGAGTGAACAAGTTTTGGGCTCTCTTTTTATTTGATTTTAATGTACTTGTTAATGAGATTTTTCACCTAACACTATTAAGATCCATTGAAAATGTTATTTGAAGTGATATTTCACTTTATTTTTAATTTTCCCAAACATACCTGCTCATATGACTCATCCTTTTATAGATTTCGAAGGTCAGAAAAAAAATCAGTCGCAGGTACAGAATGAAAATATATAAAAATTCCAATAAAAGCAAGGATAAGAAAAAGCTAATTGATTTCTGTTGTAGGCCAGATTTCTGTTTTATTTCTATTTCTTCTGGGTATTTGGTGATGTAGGGCTTCTACTCAAGCCACTGAATATTTTTGTTGTGTGAGAATAACATTAGGATGCTGTCTATTAAGATGCTAGGGTGGCATCTACAAAGATTTTTTCTGATACTGGAGAGTTTTGGTCCCTAACAGAACATCATGTGGAATTTCATTAATTGTGTTTAAATATCATAATTTTTCTTACAGCAGAAAGCCAGATGTCTTTGAATGTTGTTTTATTCTACTAGCTGTGCCTTGCACTTAAAATTATATATTTATAACAAATTCTCCACTAGGTTGCAGAAGCTATTCTGCAAGGGACAGCATCTTCATCCAAACAGGAAGAAAGTTCATGGAGAGAGAATCGCAAAAGCCACAGCACCTCTCACATGGGGCTGAAGACATGTTTGCAAAGACACTTAATTAGAGATGTGAGTAGCAAAGTATGCATTCCTATTCCCAGCAGTCACTTTTCCACAGTTTCAAATATGTACTTAAGAGAATATTCTTTGGAATCCAAATTTCTGCAAATGGAAGGGTGTATAAACATGTTCACATTTTCTTGCAGTCAGATTGTGCTCTCATTCTACATAACTTTGTTTGCAGTTTTTCTTCTGATTTTGCAGTAGGAAAAACATTTTTTTTCCTTTTCTAGAGAAAACTGAATTACCTGTTGTTTTCAGCTATGCTCTGACTTCTTTGCACCTACTACTTTACAGACTTGTTTTATGAGTAATCTTTGTACCTTGCCTCAGCAAACCATAAATCTAGTATTTTGACATTCAAGGCTTTACTTGCCAATATGTACTAGTGGCCTCCCTGTTAATGTCAGTGGGAAAATCACTTAGCTTTTTACAAGTTATGACAAGTTAACTCAGTATGTCAAATGAGATGCTTGTTTCTGGCTGGTATGTTCATGACTGCTCCTCCACAACCAGCTTTCCATATATCTTACACGTCATTGTTTAGAATATAGATATTTAAATATCTCATCATGCTTTTCTTTCTCTTGGCTTTGTATTTCTTGCTTCTATAATAAGCACCTTGATTATTACAAAGCTCCTTTCTTAATTTTGCTCACATTTAGTTGAAATCTGTGCTTTATTCAAGTGAACAGTCACTCTGAAATTCCTCCTACCTACTGAAAATTTCCACTGGCTAAAGTAAAACTTAGATTGGCCAGCACACCCTGCACTCTGCCTGTCTAGGAACTGAAATAAAATGTAAAAGATGTCAGGTGAGAAGGGAGGCAACTATTCCACTGTAGTGAGCATGATAGCATGTGTTTTGGAAGTCACTAGACAGCAACTCTAGTGAATTCTATATGATGCCAGATATGAAAAGAGACAATGGTAAGAATAACTTTAAACTGAATATGCTTGAAAGACCAGAATCAGCCATGTGTGAAACAGTAGCTTCAAAGAGGATGCCTGCCTTCAAGACTATTTCTAAGCAGTATGTGTTGTTCATGAGTCAGAAAATAGAGGGTTTAGCTGCAAGAAATTGTTCCATGTGTTCTACACTGATGTCTACAGCTGGAATCTCTCCATTCCTCTGTGCTACGGTGGACAGAATTACTAGTTAAACAAATAATATTCAATATACCATCTTCAGTTACAGTAGCCAGTAAAGTCAAAAAACTATCTTTGGTAGCTTACTCTGGAAATTTTCAAAGCATGAAGGAGTTTGTTTCATCTGAACATCTCAAACATTTTTGCAAAGTGAGTTAAAAACAGAAACATTTATTCTACACAGAGATTCCCTAAGATCCAGTGAGTTCGTTTTCCTCCTGTGGCACACAGCCACGTGCAATAAAATTATGGCTTCAGCAACAGTTTTGAGAAGGGGGAAGTTGAGGACAGCAGACTTTTGGGCTCGCTGTTATCTGAGCTTTCGCCATCTAGCCAGCTCTGGATCCAATCCAACTGGAATCCAGCACAACCGTGAGCTAGACTGGTAGGCATAGGGCCCAGATGTCCTGAGTGAACTCTAAAATGTTTGACAGAGACACATGCTCTTTATCTGATCTGATGGCACAAAAAGGCTTTAGAGTGAATAGGGTGGTCGTTAATTACTTGAATCTAGAATTTAAGGCTCAGGTAAATGGAAGATTAAACAGAAGGCCAAAATCTGTGTCATAGAGATAGATCTGAATGTGGTGACTCACTTGTGTTTTCTTTGTATTTGAGCTCTTTTGATGGCAAGTGGGTGCTTTTCCTCACAGATCCTGTAAATCTGGACAATTCTGAATTTTGGATAGATATGAAACAAATTATCATACTATTTCTGTCCAGGACTGAAAAACTGTGCATAGGAACATATAAAAGTGAGTGGGAACATATCAAAGTGAATGAGATAACATTGAGCAACAGAAGGGTGGTCAGGCATTGGAACAGACTGAACAGGGAAGTGGTGGAATCACCATCCTTGGCACTGTTCAAAAAACGTGTGTGCTTTGGGACATGGTTTAGTGGCAGACCTGACAGTGCTGGATTACTGGTTGGAATTGATGATCTTAGAGTCTTTTCCAAACTAAGTAATTCTATGGTTCTAGGATTTGGAGAAGATATGCGTGCATATATAGTGGCTTTCTGTGACTGGGTTTTGGTAATGAGGGGAGGAGGGGGAGGGTACAGGGATGGCTTCTGTTAGAAGCTGCTAGAAGCTTCTCCTGTCCTGTGGAGCCAATGCCAGGCGGCTCCAGGATGGGCTTCCTGCTGCTGGCCAAGGCCAAGCCAGTCAGGAGTGATAGTAACGCCTCTGTGATAACGTATTTAAGAACAGAAATGTATTGCATGGGAAGAATTCCAGCCAGGGAAGATCGGAGTGAGAACATGTGAACAATGATGTAGACACCAAGGTCAGTGCAGAAGGAGGGGGAGGAGGTGCTCCAGGTGCCAGAGCTGAGGCCCCTGCAGCCTGTGGTGAAGACCACGCTGGAGCAGATGGATATCCAAAGGAGATTTTGACCCCATGGGAGGCCCAAGATGGAGCAGCAGGGTCCTGGTGGGGACCTGCAGCCCGTGGAGAGAGGAGCCCACAGTGGAGCAGTTTTTCCCTTGGTAGGACTTGTGGCCCCTGTGGGGGACTGATGCTGGTACAGCTCATTTGTGAAGGACTGCACTCCATGGAGGAGTGACCCACAGGACAGCAGTTTGGGAAGAACTGTTACCCGAGGGATGGACTCACGCTGGAGAGGTCCATCAAGGACTGTCTCCTGTGGGAGGGACCCCATGGGAGTAGGGGAAGGACTCCTCTCCCTGAGCAGAGGCAGAAACAACAACTGATTGTAACCCCCATTCCCTATTTCCCTACACTGCTGGGGGGGAGGAGGAAGAACATGGGGGGAAGGTGTTTTTAAGATTATTTTATTTCTCACTCTTTTATCCTGTTAGTAATAAATTTAAGTACTATCCACACTTTGAGTCTGCTTTGCCTGTGAAGGTGATCAGTCACTGACCTCTCCCAGCCCATGAATCCTTCGCTGGATTTTTTTGTCTCCTCTGTCCAGCTGCAGAGGGAGAGTGAGAAAGTGTCTTTAGTGCACACCTGGCATCCAGCCAGGGTCAACCCACTACAGCATGACATATTTAATTTAAAGCTTGCTTGGACTAGAGAGTTTCATCAGCTGTAACCAAGAAGGCAAAATAACAATTACTGTCTGACTTATTTCTGTCAAAGCTAATAGAATTCAAGGATACGTACCAAAACAATTAGGGAGCAAGTCTGAATAATGTTAAAGACAGAGATTTTTTGAAGACATGACTTTATGAAGTAAAAAAACCCCACATCCAACAGATGTTCTACATCTCTGGAAAAGATATATTCTGATTGCCTATAATACTTTTAAGGATGATTTCTCTTTATACTGTAACATGATCTTCCTGGTGAGGAACTGTCCACTTTAAGTTGTGTTTTAGTGAGACAAGATAAATGTCCATTTTAACTGCACATCATTAATGATTCTTTCAGAATATGGCTTGAAAGATGAACAGATTGGCCAAGATTGTTAATATTTATTAATTATTAATATTTACTAATATGAATCCTCTGCAAACAAGTAGATTTCTGAATGCTGCACATTAGCAAGAATAAGTTGCCAGTTTCCTGCCCAAAATGCAACTATGGATAGATATTAATGATTTCTGTGAGAAAATATCCATTCATTTGCATGGTGAGGGCAGGCGGTGAGGGGAAAGGAGGGGAGGGGAATTGTACTGAAAGGTATACTGATAACAATTGTACTGAAAGGTATACTGATAACAATTGTACTGAAAGGTATACTGATAAGATTTCTTAATGTTTTTTTTGAAAAAGTTTCAGCCAAGGTCAAACGTGCTTACTTTCAATCTTCTTAGATTTTACTGTCTAATCTGGCAAGGGACTTTGATGATCTTTGAGCATGTTATTACCTTGCCTATAAATTTACTAACTCTGAAGCAGGGAGGTTTTGTGAATATGTGGACGGACTTTTACAGCATTTGAATTTTCACTGCTTTATCCATGAGTACTTGTTGCTTTTTCTAAGCTTTTTGATGTGTTGGGGGAATGCAAATTCTACATGACTCAACTGTGACAGTTGAAGGTTATAAGAGATCCTTATCAATGGGAATTGAGAATTGAGAGATTTCCAGCTTGAACTGAAACTACACGTAATTCACTAAATCTGTCTTGATTCCTCTGACATTATTGCTTTGAAAATAAGTATGGTAGTGTATGCAATGTATAAAAACTGAAATCAAAACCTTTTACAATGTATGTATAGCAAGCTGGAGTATCTTTACTAACACCATTATGCATGGAGGCTCCCTCAACTGAATTGGCTGATATATCTCACCATGCTCATGGAAACATCTCTTCTTTCTCTCTGCTTCCATCTTGCCATAAAGTATATTCTATTCATAAGTCTGATGTAAGTAGTTCTTTAAAAGCTTGAATTACAGGGGGAAAAAATACTGCCACATGTTAGTGTCTGGCTGAATTTGATGAATATTTGAGCTGCTGTGGCCCTATTGGTATTTTCTGAAGACGGTGAACCATCTGACCCAAAACTAACGAGACAGAAAAAAACCAGTTAATTTTTGCCTGATTCTACTTACTGAGCCAGGTCAATTCCCCTCTGTGGTTGCTGGTGCCTCAAAAGGAGGGACTGGAAACATGTGGCTGGAGATAGAGGAAGAGGAATGGGACTCTAGAAATCTGGGCTGAAATTAGTTTGAGTTGCTGTGAAACTGCATCAATGGCTTTTCATGTTCTTTTAAATAATTTGGTAGTTTCAGTCTTGAGATCTTTAGCAATGAAATGATGGATTAGGAGCTCTTTCCTTCTATCAGTCTGCAATTTCTGAGATAATATCTCTTCATCAGAAATAATCTTAAAGTTCCTTAGTACTATATCACTTGTCTCAAGCTGAAGTCCCAGGTATATTTTGACAGTTTGCCCACTCACTTGTATTTGGAAACCTGATTATGTTTGGAGAATTCAGGCATATTCACAGAATCTGCCTGCAGAAAACATCTCCAAATGTAAAATATAAATCATTCTTTTTAACAATGAATTCTATTAATTTATGTACCTTTTGGTGACCTTGTCTGAAAGAGCTAATCAGCTGCCTATCTCCTGCTAAGAATAGTTTTATGCTTGGAGGAAAAGATTTAGCTTTTTAAAATCCTACAACTTTGTGGTGTTGCAATAAGATTTCTTTCTTTGCTTCTTCCTTGTAAGCACATCCATTACATTGTAATGTCATTTATTAATATATGTAAGAGATCACCATCCACAGCAACAGCGGATCCTCTAAATTTTGTTGATCACATGGAGAAAATTTTACAGCTGTCAAACAGTGGCCAATGTTATCAGAGAAGGAGCAGTTCAGTCTTCCCATTTGTGCTTTGCTTGTCCTATGTCCTTTGAGCAATAGCTCATGGACTTGAATAAATGAAGCTGATGGCAAATATATCCTTTCTATGAAGAGCTTACAAAACCTTCTCAAGCAGGCACTCTTCAGTGTGTGAAACATTTCAAAATCAGAGTTATCTGGTACCACTTCCAACTTTTTTTATTGTTTCTTTGTTTCTTACCATCATGTGCATCATATGCTCTTAGTTATTCACCAGCTCAGTGCATTAGAGCTTCTTCTGCTACCTGTTCTGACAGAGAGATATCCCTTGCCATTTCTGGGATAACTTAGCAATGTGAGCTGTGAGACTCTGTCTATGTCTTTGTCTTGTATTGCAAGGCATTTCTAAGTTCAGTACCTTCAAAGTTTCGGCTAGGCAAGAGCACAGCAAGATTTCCTGTCATACCAACATAAAGTTTTCTTTGCAGCTTCAAACCCCTGAGAGTCACTGTGTTAATCCCATGTATGTTGTGGTGGTCCTGCAAGAATATTTTCTGTTTCCTCTGTGCTCTGATCTAAGGTCTCCATGAAAAATTGGGGAAGTGCTTTTGAGTATCTGTGATCTTTCCAGTCTAAATAACTGCTATAGTTTCTTTGAAACTGTTTGCATCTTGTTTCCCTTCTGTGGCTCACACCCCTCTTAGGGTTCTACAAGACTTGTGTCAGCCCTGATAGATGGAGATGTATGAGATCAAAATGTAAAAAGGGTGGACATCTGGCAAATAAAAATGAACTGTCACGCAATATATTTTACTAGGCTCAGCTCAGTTGTGATATCCCAGAGAGGGTTATCTTTCCTATTGTTGGCAGAGTGATTGAGACTGAGGGGTGAAGGCCTGACAGCAGCTGCTGGCCTCACATTGTGAGCCTTAGATTACCCTTGACTTACATCATTTTCCCAGTACAGGGAAATGTGAATGTCACATGAAAAGGAGGGGATATGCCTGACTCCTAGAGTCGGGAGATTTTCTCAGCCCACAGAGATTTATTTGTCTGTTAGTGCCCCAGGGAAAATGAAACCATATATGTTTCACCCAGTCTTTCAGGTACCCTGCACAGGAACCTTTCAACAAACAGATTCACAAGATCAGGGTAATTTGATTGCCCTTTTTCAGAGACTGCCATATAACAGTGTAAGGGAAAACCCCTCAGCAGGTCTTCCCACATGTTATTCTGCTGCTAGCAAACTGTCAGTATCTTATAAAGGACTCACACTAATAGTTTATGGAATAACACTCTTTATTAATACAAACTATGACAAGTTAATAAGGTTCATGGTCGTTGGTGATAGGGTCTATCTGCAAAAATGTATTTAAAGCAATCTAATAATACTATACAGCAAACACAAGAACAAACTCTAATACAAAACAATATATTCTGGAGCAAAAGTGAGCTCTAGTCCTTAAAAGCAACAGTCAGCACACATAGAATAGTTACTCACCCGACAGGCATCCCTGAACGGGGGAAGGGAAGACAGGTTTGACTTCTCAGCTGATCCCAGCAGTTTCAGTGGAAATCTTTCTCAGATTTCTCCTCATTTCCAACTTCCTTTTATTCTATTTCTTTAGGTTTAGGTGGAGTTTGAGTGAATCTAGTTATAGGTCCTCAACTGGGTAGTTGTCCTTGGCATCTGTCTTCCTTGGTAGACAGATATGTCATGGTTGAAGTATCACCATGTTCCGCTTCCTGCGGGATGTTTGTGGAGGGAGGCCACAGTGCCTTCACATCACTCCCCTCTCCAGTGCATTCTCTATACCATGTGTTTATCAGTGTTTGGGGAACCTTTGTGGAGCATCGTGACCATCATCCAGGAAGCAGCAGCTGGTTCTCCTCTGTATTTCTTGTTCTCCTTTAATTTTTAACCCTATCCATTATTCCATAGTGCAAAGCAAAATAAGACCCCAAGACAGAGTTATGTATAAAACATGTGTGTGTGTGTTTGTGTGTGTTTGTGTGTGTCTCTGTGGGTATGCCCACATACACAAATAAATATTTTCCTGAAGTTTTAACTGCTTAGTGATGCACCTGTTGTATTGCTATTTGAACCCGTCTATATTAACTTAATAAAAATATATTCAAACTTTTTAGGCAACAGATAGTTCTGTGCAAAGAGCTCATCCTTTGAGATCAGTGACAAAAGAACATCAAGAAAAGAAACCATCTAACTGCTCCATTGATAGAAGCACACCAACTGGCAGGAGAACACTTAATCAGGGAAAACTGACACCTTTAGAACCAGAAAAAGTAAGTCAATAGCAAAGTCTATTTAAACTGCCTTTATTTGCTTTTTATACAATTGTTCAGAAGCTATATCAACACCCTGATCCCCACACAGCTGCTGTTTGGTCTTCTTTCCCTGGAACTGAAGGTTTTTTTGTCAGAAATTTTCTTAAAGACTGTTCATACATTGAGCTATTCAGATACCTGCAGGCCAGAGTGTGGGTGAATGCTTTGAAACCTGCCCCTCTTGCCTCAGAAAAAGTTCAGAGTTGATCACATGCACCAAGCATTGGGGCAGTGTATGGGCCAGTGGCTCCCAGGAAGGCCAGAGGCTTGGACCATCAGGAGCAACTCACGGAGTCCAGCAGGGCAGTGCCCATCCCACAGATGCAGACAGCAAGGAGGGCAGGCTGGGGATGGAAGTGCGGGTCAGACCAAAATCCCAATTGTCAAAGCCTACAGTGATGAGACAGGTCTGGGGTCATGATAAGAATTCATCCTGTGGGTCAGTACTGGGATTTGGATCAATGAGGTGCATGGCCAAGTACAGACAACTGCAATGCAAACCAACATGGACCAAATGAAGTGAAGCTTCCCAGAGATGGGAAGCAGTGGGCAGGGTGGTGGGCATGGCCTTGTCTGACACTTCTTCCAGTTCTTCCACCTTCCTTTCTCCACAATAGTCTGAACTAAGGTTAGATCCATGCACAATACCCAAACACAGACAGCTAAAATTCTAGGAAGGGGAAGTGCATCTGGCCGTGTCAGTGACAACTCCCATCTTACAGTGAAGCATGACTGTAGGCCAGGCCCTCTCCTTTTTTCTTCAGGTTGTACATCAACCTTCTTCTACTGGAGGAAAAACAGATAGTAGAAAATCACCTGGAGCTGTCTCACATGTAACTGGTCTTTTCAAGGATTTCAAGGAGCCTAACTCATCTTCCTGTATAAAAGGTAAGATATGTGGAAACTTTCTGCCTGCTTAAAATGGTCTGCAAATGACTTGGAGACGCTGGTCTTTAACTCTTGCCTTGCAGAGGATGCTATCACTAAAACACTCCTATTATTCTTAGAAGAATTATCAAATTTGTATTTTACAAGAGGGGAGAGCAAACTGTGCTCTCACCTGCTTACTTACTGAGTTTGTTGTCCTGGAAGTTTAAAGGTGGGAGAATGGATGTGGACTGCACTTCATTTTGGTCCAGGAAAAAGCACCTTTGGAAGGATGGAAAGATGTTAGCAAATATTATCAGTATAAGAAGCAATGTCTTGCCAGACTCTGAGACATCTTTAAAAAACCTGAGATAGGTATGGAAATGTGATTCAGCAATTTTCATATGCTTTCAATGACCCCTTTTACTTTGCTTTTTCTTACAGGCATGCCTTTGCCAATTTCAGATAGCTCAGAAGACATGTCCCTCTCACATAACCATAGCAATGATACTTGCAGCTTTGTACCCTGCAATAACAATGAAGAAAGAGAGGTATTCCACCATGTAACTCTATAAAATAGAATTTCAGTTAGTCTGTGGTCTTAGTTTTCATATACAGCATGCTAACTTCCATAGGAAAAATACTCTCCTGGATTTATTTTCTTTCATCTACTCATGACATAAGTACAGTCTTTAAAACAATATTGTAATGGTTTTCAAATAATAGATTAGATTTCTTTATCAATATGGTCCTGCACAACTGTTGAATATTAATAGATTTATGTTGTTAGTTACCATTTTAATTTTGTCTCTGGAAGAATAAACTCTTAAAAAGACAGAAAAGCTGCTAAAACCTCAGAATAAAGTGGCTTTAGTGACCACACACAGGAGAAGTGGCATAACTGCAGCTGACAATAAAGTATTTACAGACAGTTGTGCTTTTCTGGATGCTGAAGCAAAGGTTTGAGCTACTTATGATTCTGGTTCTTACACGATCAGCAAATGCCTTCTTTCCATTTGTGAACAGAAATAAAACATACCAAGAAAAGGAAAACACTCCATTCCCACTTTCTAGGCTATGCAGTGGACAGAGCATTAGGGATGCATCTGACAACTTTGAGCACGGTGTTTATAGCCATTTACTGAAGCATATCATTGCCCTGTGGGGAGCAGTACTCCCTATTCCTTTGGATCCTGTAATTCAAAATTTCACCACATCTTCAAAAGTAATTAACATCATCTGGTAGCTGCCCTGGATGCTATGTGCCAGATGTCGATTAACTTAAGGCTCCTTTATGCTGCCACACTGCAAAGAGCACTCATGGCAATGGTAAATTGGAATTGCAATATCCAGAATAGCCCTTACCTACATAGATAGCATTACCTAAGAGCTAAAGGCCACGTAATTTGTTTTGGAAGAGTGGCTCTAGCTTATATAGGTACCTTTCTTTGTAAATCAGTAACCCAATATTCAGAGATAGTTCTCCTCTCTGTTCTTGTGTTTATTTTCTCCATTTTGTACCATGTAATCTTGCCAGAATGCACTCCTGTCACTTCATTTTTGGACTTCCTTTTTGCTACCTTTAGCTGTACAAACTGAAGATCATTTGAGTTAATGTGCAAAATTTCTAGCCACAACTAAAACATAAAAATTCATTGTAAAGGCAAGGCAATACCTAAAAGAAGGGCATCTTTCCTCTGCATGTGTGAAAGTAAATATGGGGTTTCCACTGTTGATTAAAATTAATGAAAATATTTTTAAAACATTTATGTTTGTATAACACTGACTGTGATGTTTTCATAACATAGCCTCCAAAATTATCTGGAAGGTCAATGTTGAATCAAGAAAGAAGAAAGAGTGAGGAAGAGGTGCAGGAAAAAATAGAGTATTGTGATGGAAAGGTAAGAGAAAATAGGATTTTTTTGTTTGTTTGTTTTTGTTTGTGTTTTTTTGTTTGTTTGTTTTTTGTTTTTTTGGTTGGGAGGCATTCCCTTTTTGTGGATATTCTGATTGTTGGAACTAAATGGCAAAGCTATAGTGCATCTTCTGGTTGTCTTCTTTTCTGGACTTCAAATGAATTATATTGTGGGATTTGATATATGGTGAACAGAACCAGCTGCCATAGTAATACCAGGGAAATTGATTAACCAGAGGCTGTGCTGGGTATGAAGTCTTCTCTGACCAGTGTATTGTTTGTAGAAGAGCACACTGGTGGCATTATTGTCTGCTGTTAAGAAGTTCTGAGCAATTTTTCAGCTTTCTGCATGCAGCCACAATTAATTCTGTAGTACTGAATGTTCATACAGGATTATTTGGAAAACAATGATTGTTAACCTATCATGTCAGCACTCTGTGTTAATACATCGATTAAATCATTTTGGCTAACATAATCCAGAAGCAGGGTCTCTCAAGTCACCTGTGTGGAAGATGCACAAGCATATATGAAATGAGTCCAGACAATAATTCACTGAAGTTGGTCAAGGAAAAACCTGACTGGCGTCCCTATTGCCACAGGGCTGTGTACCTTACCTCCCTTAACAGAAAAACAAGGCGATAGGGTGAGAATTTGGGATATGTGATGCAAGTAAGTTCATCTTATGAAAAGAAAATTTCTTTTGGCTCCCTTTATACACAAATGAAAAAAAAAATAAGGCCTGTTCTACAGTGATAACTTCTGAAATACAAAGGCATAGAATGACTTACTTCAAGCTCCAGTTTAATTGGAAGGCAATGCAATGCTGCTCATTTCCTTTGACTTCAATTAGATGCTTTATGTGTTTGAAGGTAGAAGAGGTGCTTACCGATGGACGTCGAATCCTCACTTTCCGCAATGGTACTAAAAAAGAGATTAGTGTTGATAAAAGGACAACAACAATTAGCTTTTCCAATGGAGATGTAAAGAAGATCATGCCAGATCAGAGAGTGGTGTGTAACTTTTTTTTTCTTTATGGAAAATAAAATGATTAATTGATTTTCCAATGAGGTCCTATCATTTATCTTGATCTATTAATTCTGAGAGAAGTTGATAAGGAAGGGTGTTGGTTTAACAACCCTGAGGAGTGAAACTTCTTCATCTACAAGGACAAAAGTGGAAAGGCACGAAGGTAACAGTCAAAGAAGGAAAAAATATTTGGTTGGCCAAGCAGGAGACTGAACAAGGCAAGGGGCAGAAGCAGCCATCTGAAGCAAGGACTTGTTTTTATTCATTTGTAGAGTAGCTAATTCCTCTTGGCATTATATAAATATAAGTAGTTAATCAGTATGTGAGCTAGAGTGGAAATAAGTGAGGCCTTGGTAGCAGTAGGGCTATTTTAAATTAATAGTTCATGGATGAGATCCAAAGCAAAGAGATGGGAGGATGACTTTATGCACTCTTCTGTATGCTACAGAGATGAAAACAGTGTCATCTAGACACAGTCATGAGGAGGAGAGTGAATGAGAGGAAGGAACAGCAGTGTGAACATAGATACTTTTATGGATGGCAGATGCAGAAAACGACCTTGAAATGACTTTTTAAAGATGGCTTATTTTTAAGCACATTGTTATGATTGAATCTGCTTATGCAAGTATTGTGAACATGCTGCTAACACTTCACTCTCCTTCCAGATTTATTATTATGCAGATGCACAGACAACCCACACTGCTTATCCAGATGGCCTGAAGGTGCTGCAGTTCCCCAATAATCAGATAGGTATGCAAGAGCTCATAAGCATGAACAGTATGTGCAGATTTATTTTTATTATGAAAGTGTGGTCTGCGTTCTGACTCCAAGAGATTAAGTATTTTCTTGCCATTTAACATTGTCTTTGCATTTCACTTCCAGTATATTCCATCACTTCACTGCTCAGTTTCCTCCTACAAAGCAAGTATAATAATGGAATATAATTGTAACTCTTCTAATTTTGATTATCTGATTACATAATTCTTTAATTTCTTTAGCTGTACTCTGCATATAATTTCCATCCTCACTGTGATATCCAAAAAAATCCTGACCTAACTGTGTGTACAGAAACATGAAAGAATACTAGATAGACTTCTTACATCTTCTTTTCCACAGAAAAACATTATCCTGATGGCACACAAGAAATTGTGTTCCCAGATCACACAGTGAAGTGCCTCTATAGTGACGGACTGAAGGAAACTTTTTTCCCAGATGGTACAGTAGTAAAAGTAGAAAAGTAAGTCTTGTATAAATGACAGGAACCAGGCATTGGACACACCCAATGATACTGACATTTAGAACTGTGGCTGGGTTTGGCATAGCTAGGAAATTTCTAGATGAAAGGAGAAAGGAATTTTAAGATAGCAAGGGTTTTGCTACAATGTAACACTGAAAACTGTTCACTTCCACCTTGAGTGATAGATGATCATTTGTCACTGGCAAAGTGACTGTGAAATATTCCTCATTTGGTTCCTTGTAACTTTACACTGGCCAGAGTTGCTGGGAGATCACCAGTTGTCTGTGTTAAAAATGTGGGTGCTAAAGGACTCAGGGTGAGGGCTCCAAAGCTGTATTCTTACCCATTTGACTCCCTTTCTAATCTCAGGCAAGGCATTTCATGTATTGTCTCTCTATTCCTCCATGCAACATGAGAAAAACAGGAATCTTTCATTTGTGCCTCTTCTGGGCTTCGAAAGGTTCCTGTTGTAAAATAGATTTTCTGCCTGCAAAAAGCCTTGAGATCCCTCCATGAAGTTATGTAAAACGCAAATCTCCATTAGCTATTATACTATGTATTGAAATCTTTTTGTGAGATAAGATCTCTAATGCCATCCCGTGTTTTAATGCCATCTGACATTATTTTCTGCTTTCATTGAGTCACATTAGACAGCTCAGTGAGACAGGTTAATAAAGACAGTGCCTTCTCATCACTGCATTCATTGCTATTTCTTTCAGGAATGGAGATAAAATAGTGATATTCAGTAATGGCCAGAAGGAGATTCACACTGCACAATTCAAGAGGCGGGAGTACCCAGATGGCACTGTGAAAACTGTGTACTGCAACGGCAGACGGGAAACCAAGTACTCCACTGGACGAGTTCAAATCAAAGATGAGGAGGGTAATCTCATCCTAGATAAGAAGTAATTCCTCCCCGCAAAGGGCTGCACTGTATGTATGTAGCTCAAACCATTTTCTTGGCAGGTCAGAACTGTTAGCAAGATTTAACTTGTGAAAAGGACTGGATGGATCTGTAAGGCTGAAAATTACTTTGGCTGAGTGACTGGCTTAGATTGAAATAACCTTACCTGAATGTAATGTCTCTTGAGTGAGACTTGAATGGGATGCGGTCATGTGCTCTTTGCGTATACAACATTAAAATAAATGCCCACAGTACTTCTCATTGAAGTGTTTATTTTATGGTACTGATCACAATTTCCCTTGTTTTTCTGCCACTTAGTTGTGAAAGTGACTACAATTCTGGACCATGGCATAAGAGCCTCAAGTATACAGTTCAGTGCTGCCCTACGCTGACTAGAGCAGATTGCTCAAAGCCCAATCCAACCTGGCCTTGAACACTTCCAGGGAAGTGAATTTTTTGAAATCACTGAAACATTTCTCTTGAGGAGCTCAGCTCATTTACCTGCCCATTGATTGAGATGCCCAATTATCTCCTTATGCCCCCCAAATTCCTGTAACAACAAATACATTTTCATAGCAACATTATAGAATTGCTCTGTCTTCTCTTTAGTTTTCAGGGACTCAGACTATTAACAAATCACCATTCAAATTACAGAGTATCTATGAAAGAAAGCAAGGAGCATTGCTGATGTTGATCATACACATACTTCAGTTTATCAGTTTAATTATGATGCTATCAACATCCGTGCAGTTTGGTATTGACTGGTGTAATGATAAAATTGCATTGTTTTCTCTTTACTGCTCCATAACTCTCCTTTTCAGCTTTTCACTGCTGAAATAGCATATTTTATTTGTTTTGTAAAAGAAAACTCTAATCAAAATAAATCCAAGATATCATTCTTTTCCATGTGTTTCACTAAGAATTTCAGTTTGTTCTTCCTTATGCTGAGCAAAACAAACATATGTTGATTTTTTTTTCAATTAGGCATCACAAAAAAGTGAATGTGGTTAATGTTTTCAGTTTGACTGGGAAACTAAATACATGATACCAATGTTTTATAAAGCAACATTGTTTTTATTCCCATGAATTCCTCTAACAAAAGGTCCCTGTTCTCCAGTTAAAATGCTGACATTCTTTTTGTTTCTGTAATAATTTAGAAAACAGTCTTTGTTTGCAGCTTTTAGCCGTAAATCACTATTTACTATTCAATAACTTGTGTGTCACAGAATCACAGAATTCTGCGGGTATGTGATCCTTCTAATTGTAAATCAAATAAGGAACAATTTTGTTACTATGCTCCTTATTCCTTGCTTCAGTCTACTTGCAGGAGGCATTTTGATTGTGGAATAATTTGGCCTGTGGTCCTGCACATGTGTAACACATAGGGAATATGTGCAAGCCAGTCTCTAAAACTGTGCATGCAGCAATGCATGTGTGCAAACACCTTCCATATGTATTCACTGTGCTGATATGTACATTTGTGCTGGTTTAAAGGTAAACCAGCAGGGGAAATGAATCCAACTCAAAAGAGAGATTATAAATCAGAATAACAATTTAATAAAATAATACAATAAGTACAATCATACAGATAAACAATTGGTTTTAACTCACAAAACCCCAATGTATAACCCAGCACCCTGGGGCATGAACAGAGTGGTGTTCATTGGGCCCCCCCTTGAGTCCAAAGTAAAAGAAGAGGGGAAAACCTGTTGGTGAGAGTGCTGTTGCAGTCTGGTCAAGAGTGGTGATTGCAGTCTGGTTGAGAGCAGTGATCTGCAGTCTTCCTCTGGATCCCACGAGTGGTTAAAAAAGTTCCAAGACTCCAAGATTATATATTCTCCAGTTCAGGCAGGAATGCTCAGTACTTCCCTCAGGGTGGAGAGTTCCACAAAGGGTGTGAGGACAAGAGCACCCTCCTATCTCGCAGGCCTCTTAACACCTAGTTTATAGCCTGATGAGTCAGGCTGCTCTGGGCAGATGGTGTAAATGCTCTACTGATAACAGTTTCTGGGAAATGGCATGGAAGGTTATAGAATGCACAGTTTTGGGTTACACCCATCCAGTGATGAACTGGTCCCAACTGTTCTAACTAGGACAACATTCACCTTGTTAGCACCAGCTTTCAGGGCGGTTGTAATGACACATAAGCATGGGCCTGGTCCTACTTTCCAGCAAATCGATGGCAAATCTTCTATTGGTGAAATCAAGGGTGAAACTACTGAAGATTTCACAACACTTTTGCCAACCCATAGCTGACCATCATTCTAGCAAGATATTTGTTTCAGGTGATATTTTATTATATAATAGCAAAGGAATTACTGAAATAAGAGGCACACACTGGGTTTGAAAAGGAGGAGGCAGAAAAGCACCTACATGAATGACAAGCTCTGTCAGGTATGTTATAACTGGGAGTCCTTCGCAGACAAGTTACAACACATACCCCTTTGTTTTTCACAGACTATTCTCACGTTCCCTCTCCTCCACCTTCCACTCGCATTAGTTAACCAGAAGCATTGGCTCTACCATCAAGGGTTCATAGCTGTAGGAACACAAATAATCCAAATTAAGTGTGACTGCATATTGTGCTTTAACTGCAGCAACACATACCTATTTCACCATGTCTTTTGTCCTGGAGGATTTATAATGAACAAATTTTCATGAATCCTATAGGGAGATGAAAAACATTTTGTCTTTCCAAAACACTTCTTGTCTTTCCACAGGTTTTTCTGGCATTGGCAAAAACATGCTACAGCCAGTATTTGGCCTCAATTTTTGTTTAAATTTAGACTAGGCTGTGACTTCTCAACAGAGCTACTTCCATTCAGACAACCAGGGGCATAGGCCTCTGGTTTTTATCAGAGAGGAAATATGTGCGTGTGTTAACTTGTAGTTGCAGAAGTCAGGTGTAGGTAAACAGCTGCTGAGTTGGACAGACTTGTGTGGAGAGTGCCCAGCCTCCAGGGATTTGTTTATTTTTAGCTTCAGCTTTTGCTCGGGAGGCTATTTTTGGCATGGTATTTTTTTCCTGCATCTGGGAAATCAGTGTTTTACTTGGAAGTGCTCTGGCAGTTTTCTTGGTCAGGACAGCTACCTTACAAATTGATCCTCTCGCATCATGCAGAGCAGGCTGTAGAAAAGAAGCAGAAATATATTTAGATGCTCTTTCACAAGTGAGTAAGCCAGGCACTCTCATCACCTGTGGTCTGGGGCACACACCTTCTGCCAGCCTTTATTCCAGCTACTGGGTTTTGCCTGAAAATGTCAATCTACTTGTAGTTCAGCAGTTCAGCAATATTGTGAAAAAGTTTTCTTCTCACAGTGTCATCAGTGGAACAGCTGAAACACAAGGCTGGATGCAGTTGATTTCTAAAAGTTGTGGCTTGAATTGGTCATAAACCAGGGTGTCAAAGCCAAAGAGCTCAAAGCAATTGGAATCCATTGGTAAGGGGATAACACCAAGCAGGGTAAGAATCACTGTGTTATTGATCATCTGCCAGAGGACCATGCCATCAACCCCAAATATTCAAAGGTAAGAATGACATTCACTGAACATACATTTGCAGCCACAGATAATCCCTTTGTATTCTTTTACATGAAACTCTTTATCTGTTGATGCTGGTTGGTGTTTGTGGGAATAAACATTGTCCAGAGAACCAAAGTCAAACTTTTCAGTAGCAAAACCTCACTAGACTTTCCTCATAACTGTAAACGGTGAGGAGGAAAAACTGATCACACATACATAAAGGTGCAGTTCCAGTTTATACCCTGAAGTGAGCAAAGAGTTGCTAATGTACTTCTGCACAATAACTGTACAGTCATATACTAAGTCTATAATGTCTTGGAAAATGGGTATGCCCCTTCCACAGGAGAGATCCACAGGCTTGCAAATCCAATAGCTGTGTTTTTCTGCCTACTGATTGTCTCTCCTTGCTGTATTCTGCTCTAAATTTAACACAGTCATTAGGCATGACGAATGCCACTGGACTAAATTCATACAGAACTTATCCTTATGCTCCTTTCATATATTTCAGATGCCTTGCCAAGCAGTCTGTTCTGGTGATCTGGACAGCTCCTGGGCAGTGGTTGAATCTCTGCCACGGTTTAATGCTGTGGTGGTCTGTCATGTGGAAAGGGGAGTTCCAACAGCACAGGTTCCACTCTGAGTCATCTTGCTTTTTTTTTTTGTAAAATTGAGTTCAGCCACACTCCAGTAAAATCTCACTGACTATCACAGAGACATTCTCGTGGAGACAGAACACCAACACCTTCAAACATCTCTTGTATCATAGTCACATACTACCATTTCCATCTCTACTTTAAGGCCCCTTCCAAGTCAAGCCATTTTATGATTCTATGACTTTTTCTTGTTTGTTTTTGTTTGTTTGTTTGTTTGTTTTTTGTCGTCGTCATTGTTGTTTGTTTGCTTTGTTTGTTTTGTTTTGGTTTTGTTTTTTTTGTTTTGTTTTTTTTAGCAGCTCTCTTTAGCCCAATGACTGTAGCTTTGCCTAGTCTAACTTACTTTGTACTGCTGCATTACTGACACATTATGCTAACTTAGTATGTTGCCCTGCTCTGAGTAAACTCTCTTGGTTAAGACTATAAAGCCCAATGCAAAACCGACAGGAGACAGTAGGAAAATGCCTATTGATTCCAATGCTCTTTTCCTCCTCTGACATGCTGATTTAACTCACTGATAATCTTCTTCTATTCCTCCAGTGAGCTCCTCCCCAGTTCCTGAAGAGCAAGGCACCTTCTTGCCTCATCACTTTCCTCTCAACAAAGTAATGTTCCATAGAAATGTATGTAGATTCTGAATGAAATACTATTTCCCACTGTCTATGTTGGCAGTAGATGATGGACTCCATTTATTTTTATGAGTAAAAAATGCATTTTGAGTTATATTAAGCATAGCAATTCTCATATAGACCGTTCATGAAGAGTGTTCCTCCCTATCCATCTAGTTCAATGTATACAAGTCTCAAACTGAAGACCTATTTTACTGGCTGGTGGCATAGAGCAAAAAAAAGTCCCGTGGACTTGTAGATTTGAAAGTGTTGCTGTTTCTCTCAATTTTATTTTCCCGGAAACCTACAGAGCTGCAATTCTACAGTCTAATTGTCCCTGAGGATTAGATTTTGTGATTGGGGCAGAGTGTCTTGGATGAGAGAAGAGTGTTTGAGCTGAGGATCATTCTCACAAAACATTAACATACCAACCTCCACTTTCTCCCAAAAAGTAGCAAATAAAAAAAAAACCAAAACGGATGTTCCATATGGTAGACAAGACTCCCTCACATCCTATTATTGTAGTGACACCCTTGCTTTTTCTTTTCAGGTTGAGTTGTAGTTTCTGCCTTAAAAACAACTACAGGGAAAAAGTCACACCTGGAAGTACACAATGCAATGTCAGTTGAGTTTGCAAGGGACACTTTTCTGCAGAAAAATTACAATTTGTTGAAATTGAAAGTTTTTCTTCCAGAGAACAAAAGTAATCTTTTGTCAGCTTTTTTATTTAATTTGAATTTTCTTGTTTTGAAATTGTCAGAATATACTAGTTTCATTTTTTAAGAGACAGTGGTTCAGAAAGACATTTTTTAAATACCAATTTAGTTTTAAAACTAGAAGCCCAAATGTGAAACGACATGCTTTACCATTATCAAAATATAAACTAACATAATTCAAAATTTTGCAAATCACAAAACAGTTCAGGATTCCCATTACTTTATTTGAATGTAAAAAAAAAATTAAAAATTCTTGCAGGAGGAAAAGCCATGTTTCTCTCTCCACTCTGACGCTTGTGGATCCCTCATGCGATGTACTTATGTCACGGCTGTCCAATGCATTCTGCTGCTGACAGGCTCTGACGGGTAACCGCGGGGCAGTCACAGAGCTCTTCTACAAGCAGCATTGTGAAGTTTGTAACAAGAGCGTTACAATGCAGACAGCAAACCCAGGAAAGTTTCAATTGGCGCTTAATGGGAGGAGGGTTTTAGAAAACAGTCCAGGAGGTATTTCTGGAAGGCTGGGAAGCAGGGCAGTGGGGTTAGGAGTATAAGACTACTTTACCATAGGACTGTAGTATGTGGGTTAAAAATAGTCCAAGACCATCTTATATCCTGTAGTGAGGGAATTTTTGCTTCAAAATGACGTGCTTTTAAGCAAGCTTTGGTCCAAGGTGTGAGGTATAAGGCTCCTATTGGAAAGGGACTTTAGGTGTCATTAATGGCAGAGACTGTGGCCAAAATTTGAATTTCTGTATATGATGACTTTCCATATTGCAAAGTAACATGCAATTCTATATTCCAATAGTAATATGTATATTAACATGCTTAGTGATGTCTTACAGTCAGACTTGCAGTACCCTTCCATCTTGGGTTTGAGCTAGTGTTGGAAGGGAGGGAGCAAGATCTAAACTGCACAGAGACAGACTGCAGTTGCATTTTCCTTAGTGAGAGCTTTCCTTGGGTGAGGGGTTTATAGGGAACAGGAGAGAAACATGGTGAGCAGTTACTGAAGTGTGGTCATGGTGTAATAGGACTTCTATAAGAGTAGTCTTCCTCTTGTGATGAGTCATTCTTTTCAGCCCCAGAAAGTTGGGGGCTTGCTGCTGAGCTTGCACACAAATCTAACATGGTGGTCCCAGGAAATGATTGTTATCTTTGCTTCCACTTTCTTTCCTGGGAATTTTTTGTCCTGTCTGCTTATTAAAGATCACTGTGTCACACACTAAGAAAAAATTGAAAAACAAACACCAACCAACCAACTTAAAAACAAACAAAACCAACCAAACAACAACAACAACAAAAAACCAAAAAAACAAAAACAAAAAAAATCAAGCACACCAAAAAAACAACCATACAAAACTAAGCAAGTTTTACAGTAGCTGGTTCAAATCCTGGGGCAAAGATCATTAAATTAAGAAAAAAATTATATAATTGGAAGCAGCTATGGTAAGAATTTGGATGAATCACCTTACAGACTGCAGTTAGCTTTGTCTTTTCTGCACTGCTCAACACTTATTAGCAGTGTTTCCATGAAAGGCACTGTTGAACATGAAAGCAGTGTGTGGTAAACTGCGCCATCACAGTGTCCACTAGGTAATCATAAATTAAGCCGTTAGTAATGTCTGAACAATGAAGCTTTCTTCAGTGGTTTGTTCATATCATCTTCTATTAATGAACATCTGGCACTCAGGGAATGAAATTAAACCTCTGGCATTCGGGGAATGCCAGTTTACAGGAAATTGGCTAATCAGACCTAGATACAACAAATGTCTGCTTCAAATTCCCTGATAATTAAGTGCAAAGAAAAGAAAACACTTTAACTAACAAAGAACACCTGTCTGATTTTAAGGAAGTCATATAACATATAAGTAGAAGCTCTTGAAGCGCAATTATGGAACAGTAATTCTGGGATTAGGCACTGGTCTAAATTAATGAAGATAAATTTCACTCACTCTGTATAAATGTGTGCCCAGATAAACACCCATCTCTTTACCAACCTTCATTCCCAGAGGGTTCTATGTTCAGTCCATTCCTTAATAATTTGTAAACCCACCTTTGCATTCTTCCACAATGCAAAATTACCACAGCTGTCTCCGACCATGCTTGAGCTTAATATCCAGGTACTGCTGTTGCCAACCAGCACCCAGAAGCAGAGACCTTATAATCATAGAATCAGAATGGTTCTATGAAGGGACTCTAAAAATCATCTAGTTCCAACCCCCCTGCCATGGGCAGGGACACTCCTGCTAGCACAGGTTGCTCAGTGTCCCATCCAACCTGGCTTTCCCCCTGAGGAGAGCAGGATGCTGTTGTCTATGACACCAGGTAACAGAGAGATAGGAGCCTGTCTGGTGAAACATGGAGTGGAGAAGGGTGAGTCTACCTGCACCCTGCTGCTAGTTAAGGTCTCAGCACAGACAGACCTGTGCTGCTCACTACCTGCTAGACTGAAACAGGGCTTGTGGAGTCTTCCTTGACCATGAAAGGGCAGAAGCCTCATGTCACAGAAACCTCAACCATCTTTTCTTTTCTTGCATTTCAATTAAGAGGTATTCTTAGCTGAACTTCTGCCAAAATTTTTTTCATATATACTATGCAGCAAAATCCCTATTGCCTTTACAGTAAACAAAACTATATAAATTTTATAACTGTGTTCTGTCCATGTTAAATGACAATTTTCATTTAGGTCATGTCCAAGACTGATGGGCACCTTTATCCTCATCCTGTCCCAGGAGTAAGTATGTTCATTGCATTGCCACATGTAGCTGTGGCTTTCGTTATCAAGTCAACAGAGTTTTTTCTCATGCTTCCTGTGCAATAGAAGAGTTGTTTTTCCCCTTCTATTACAGTTCGGGAAATGACTACAGTAAAGTCCTGTGACAAAATCAAGAGTGAAAAAAAAGCTCCCCAAACCACAGGCTGCAACATCCTATCTCCTGTGCTGATTCAGCGTCAGTGATACCGAGATCCTCTCCAAGGTCAGAGCATCTTTTCTGCTCCTTGGTAGCTCCTCATGGTTTCAGCTGGAATATGTGGTGTAAGGAGCTGTTTGTTCATATGGCATTGCTGAATTTTACAGACAAATCCTGGGCACAGAGAGAACCAAACAATTATGGAGGTGTGCTGTGTTGACCCTGACCACCAATGAAGCATCCTCCAAGTTGCTCGCTCACTTCCCCCACCAACAGGATGGAGGAGAGAATCAGAAGAGCAAAAGTGATAAAACTTCTGCTTTGAGATACGGGCAGTTTAATAGGAGAAGCAAAACTGTGTATGCAATCAGAACAAAACAGGAATTCATGCACTACTTCCCTTTGGCAGACAGGTGTCCAGCCACTTCCTGGAAAGCAGGACCTCAGTGGGCATAGCAATTGCTTGGGAAGTCAAATGCCATAAGCAAGAATGTCCTCACTTCCTCCTCCTTTGCCTTGAGCTTTTATTGCTGATCATGGTGTCTTGTGGCATGGGATATCCCTTTGGTCAGTCTGTCTCATCTGTCCTGGTTGTGCCACCTCCTAATTTCTCAGGCACCTGCAAGCTACTCACTGAGGGGGCAGAGTGGGGAAAAAGAGAAGACCTGGATGCTCTGCAAACACCAATCAGCAACAGCCAAAACACAACTGCATTATCAACACTGTTTTAGTTACAAAAATCCCAAACACAGCACCATATGGACTGCTATGAAGAAAATTAACTCCATCCCAGATAGATCCAGTGCAGGAGTAAAGAGAGAAACTTATCAAGCTTTATAGTCTTTCTGAGGGAGGGATTGTCTTTTTGTTCTGAGGTTGTAGAGCATCTCATGTAGCAGGATCCCGACTTCTGTGTTGGATTATTACAAACAGAAAATGATTACATTCACACAGATGAGATTTTCACTGATGTCAAAAATCCTTTTTGCTTCACTAGCCTTTGAGCATTACTTTGTAAAAGAAAAAATCAGAGGAGAATTCAGAGATGTGTTGAAACATGATGCTGTGTTTCTGTATGAGATGGAAGTAGTGCAGGGTGAGAATCAGCAGCAGCCTAGAAAATCCATCTGTAAGTGCTGGGCAGCTGGGAGGCTGTCAGGATTCTACAGCCACCGTAATTTTGCTGTTGTATTTCCAACAGAGAGATTAACAGCATGCCTTTGACCTGACAGGACAAATGTGCAAGAGAAAGATGGATCTGTGAGGCAACCCACCTCTCATCTCCTTTTCTGCAGGACATAATGAACTTTACTGTATGAGACCTGGAAAAGAAGCTCATCGTTTGGAAATACATGAATCAATGTGAAGTCTGGAGGAGAGGCCAGATGCTTGAGTATAAGAAATATAAGAGAGATAGTAAAGTAGCATGAAGTTTATTGCTATTTAAAAGACATAACAATTCAGGGATTTTTTTTTCCACATAAATTGTATCATTGTTGTCACACCGTATGGTGCCTTATCCTCCTGTTATGGTAATAACTGAGAGGAAGTAGTTTCAAGTGTTAGTTCCATGGCAGGCAGCAACTTAACTAGCCCTGTAGTTTATTTCCGGAGGCAGCACTAATCTTGGAGATGAACAGCATTTGTCTCCAATTCCTTTTTTGCTGTCTGCCTCACACAGAGAATCTGGTCATGGTGTCATTACCAGTAATGATCACCATGTCTGTACAGTTCTCTCTCATTAAGATACAGGAACACTGCCCAGTAATTGCACTGTAGCACTCTTCTCTTTGAAGAATAACCCCCCCAAATCCAAATCTGGAAACAATATGGATAAAATTAAGAGAAGTTGAAATGACATGAGGGAAATCCTCATCTGAGCCACTGCTGGATACATATAGGTATCAAGAATTTATTACAGTGTAGGCCCATCCTCCTTTTCTTTTACCACTCTGTGACTTGCACTGTTATCTGCACCCTCGTCATGGCTAGGTTCTCTAAGTAACATGCCCTGGCTGCTCATCTCAAAGACAGCTCTGTCTGGGAAAGATGGATTAGAAAGTGGGGAAGGTCATAATAACTGAAGTATTTGGTTATGTGGAAGGCACCTCTTTTAGGATGAAGTTGCTGCAACTGGTGACAGAAAAATTGGAGACAGGAAAACCAAAGGAGAAAGAGATCTGGGATAGAGGGATGACATGGACAGAAGCACAGCTGTCTGCTGACCTGAGACAAGCTGGTGGACTCAGTGGTCAGTGGATTATGAGGTGTGAAGATATGATGTGTAGATATAGCCAGTTTATAAGTTGATGTTATTTACGGCAGGTGTTAAAGAATGCAGCATAAGAATAACGTAAATCTTTGTAAGAAAAGATGTGTGTTGTCTGCAATCAGCTGAGCAACACCAGTTGCTCTTATCTTCTCATTCCACATGTGAGTATTTTAGGTTTCATTGTAAAGCTATGGTACTAGGTCTTATCCACAGAAATAAAAATATGAGGACTTTAAGAGTTTGGTTTACATTTATTAAGACTTTATTAATTAAAAAAATACACAACATTTATTTAGTCATCTGCATGAAAGGGTGAAGTCAGACAGTCTTCCCTTATAAAGCTGAGACGTCAAAAGAGATTTTTACTTTTAAGACATTTGTATTATATTGGCCTTGAAATCTGTTCCATTACCATCTTTCTGGAGGCAATACATATTGGAATGCCCTTGGAGACTTAGGAACTGGCCAGTTTGTTTGCTTTGCCTCTATCACTCTGACCCTGTTGGATTACATGTGTGTTTCTTGGGTCAGGGGTCCTCCATTTTCCTTCTTCGTAGCAGTAGGTGTCCCAGGGGAGCTCTTAGCCTCAAGGCATTCAACTGCTCCATATGTCACCACAGACAACACAAGCACAGACAATAAAATGTACAGTTTGATGTAAACTTGCAATTTGGTGCTATAACCAAAGGCGATGACAAATCCAAGTGATTCCCAGAGACGGTAATTTGCAAAGGCAGCCTCCTTGTGTTTCTCAAATAAAATGCCATAGAGTCCTGGAAGGAAGGAAGGAAGGACATGGCTTGTGAAGATTAAGCCTGCTACCATGTATTTTCTGCAAAGGGAATAAATAGATTGTAATGGGGAAGACAGACCCTCCCTCATACATGTCAGAGAAAGGAAAATACAAACTTTGTCTTAAAAAATTTTTGTGCCTCTGTGAATTATTATAAGTGAAATAATAGAGCCAACCAGACAAAATAGAGAATATCAGATAAAAGGGAATGAAAACATGAGAAAGGAAGAATGGACTCTATTGAAGTGAGATGCCAGGAAGTTTATTTTTCAAAATATAAGGCACAAAAATGAAGGTTCTTGCACTGATGAACAAGTAAGTAAGGAGGAAGAGGAGATGTCCAGAACTGGCTTTTGACATTGTAGGGTCTCCATGTATAACTATTGAGAAGGTCATACCAAGTCCTTGCAGGCTTTCACAGAACAGGCAGTTTTGATTAGGGACAACATGGTCCTCAGGGACTAAGATGCTCCAATACGTCACCAGTTTGGGGAAGAACTTGATTGTACCCTGCATGCACTGTTGACTTTTCTTCAAACTATTTCTTTCACCTGCCTGAGAACATGCAGAGACTGTTCGTGTAAAATGCGTGGCCCTTGTTTTCACCAGAACTCAGCCTCAGGGAGCCCCCAGGTGAGGCTCACACAGTGTTGCCGGTGGTGGTAATGCCTGCTATTCATATGTGCCAAGTTGAGAGAAATAAACTGACCCAAAACACTTAAATCAGAAAGCTGAGAAAACTGCTACAATTGGGCTCAAATTTAGTATGCAGGGAAGATTTGCACCTCTGAGATAACCAGGTTTTCAGCTCCTGGATGGTTTGGCAAATAGAATATCCTTGATGCACACAGAACCCCTGGGCAGCAGCTGGAAAACTTGCTTGACATAGAGACTTAGTTAAACAGATCATTCTAATGCAGTTGTGTTCACTGGGAAGATCCCACTGACTTTGGTCAGTTGCACACCCACAAGTGGGAGTCAGGGTAGGATTCTCAGTCTCCAGGTCTGACTAGTGGAGCAGACAGGAAAGGGGGGAGACCTTGCTTTCCTCTGGGTGCTGAGTTAGCATCAGTTGTGATAAAGAAGGGGGCATTTCCTCTGACTCAACTATGGTGTGCAGGGAGGGAAGAGAGGAATATCATGAACCTTGACTCTTCTCATCCACTTCTCTAACATCATATCTGTTTGAAATATGTACATTTAGCCAAAAGGCACAGTGGAGTACAAAGTTCTCTTAAAGTCTGGGTAGACTCAACTATCCCTTCAGTTTTGTTAGGTAGGGGGAGACTTCATCTGTATGTAAAAACCTACTGAATCCTGATGACTTCAAGAGGACATTTACTGAACTCTTTCAATTTACACATGATGGAAAATCTGGATAAGTCCATCATCACAAGATGTACTTAGTTCATTAAACTGGCTGAGTGGAGCGTAGCATGAATTATACGATAATCCTTCATAGTTTTGCCTAATAAACAAAAAAGTGCAAGTTGTTCATAAAACTTCCTTGATATGCCCAGCGTTATCTTCTGGAAAGTGATTAGTGAGGAGAGTTTAACATAGGAAGGTTTCTGATGCCATGACAGTTCTATATGTTAAGATTCTAGCTTTCAGCTGGTACATGTTTTCCCTTGCTATTTTGAAGCCTTCTTTTTCAACCAAAACAATGGGAGAATTGAGTGAGGATCTAGTCCAAAGTTCAGCTATAGGAAGGGCTGACCTGGCCGGGAAGCCCTCATTTTCAGGATACACATGTGCTATTAGCTAGCAGTTACATAGGAGCACAATGGTGGTTTTGCCCCAAACCTAAATATTTGTCCTCATCACAAACACTGTCAAGTGCAGTGTGGTGCAAATTGCCTGGCTGAAACTTCACCAGGACCTGCTGGGCTGGCTGAGTAGAGAGGCTGCTAGGTCTGCATTTTTACAGTTCACTTCCATGGCAATTATCCTGCCTGTTTACCACTGCTGGTTTTCCTACTCCTTCCCCTGGTTGTAGTAGGCATGTGTATATGACAGGACTGCTGAAAATTATTTGAGCCCAGGTTTATAAACTCTTTAGACTCATTCATATCCTTTCTGAAGATGCACATCAGCCTGTAAAGAACTTGATTTTACTGTAATCTACCTGACAGCTCTGTGCTACACAATTGTTATACCAGAAGTGAAATTGTCAATGGGTAATAATAGCATCCGTGCTCAAGTTAAACAAGAAAGGGCACTACATGCTCTGAAATGAAGCAGCTTTTATTGGAAATAAATTAGAGTGTCCATACATAAATGAAAACATGTTAGGAAGCCTTTATAAGGTGAAGTGATTCATCCACCATAAGCCTACATATCCTCTAGGGGGTACTCGAGTATTAACTATTCACAGCAGCACAAAGTGAGCCATCTTTGATTACCAGAGAATGCCTTAAGAATGTGGCACAATGCCATTGCATGTATTCACTGGTTAATCTATTGAAGCCCTATCAGCAGTCATGGGAGCTTACCAAGGGAAATAGCACAGACCCTAGTCACCAATGCTGTTTTGGAGGTCTTACGACCTTTGATGCTGGGAATTTCTCATGTGATGTATATCTATATAAAACTGATGAAGGGGAGAAGACATTTAGCCCCAAGTGGATATGTCAAACAAAAGATCCTGTTCTGGGATGCAGCATTGTGAGTTAATGTCACTGCACCTCTCTGTTAAGGTTTCATGTTATCACTCAGCATTTCACTGTGACAACATGACAAAGCAAACTCTGTACAATTTTATAACTGGGAGCTGTGAAACAGCTGAATAAGGTACTGACAAAAAAAAAAAAAAAGACATTATGTAAGGAAAAGGAACATATGTTTTTTTTCCAAGCTAAAACACAGGTGAAATTTTCGCTAGTATCCTGTAGGAATCTAGGAATGGACATGACCTGTTACAGTGCAGTAATAGAGCGTATGTCTTGTCACATAGCTCCAGAGCTCACTCACCATTAAATAAGCATGAAACTGCCTATGTCTCATCTGGGGGTTTGGGAACTACAGCCGCTTCCCAGACACCTTCTCTAATACTTAGGGCCTCTGTACCTACCCCTTTTTTTCCTAATGAGGGCTTCAGGTACATCTTTATCAGGTGTGCAGGGACCTTACTGAGGAGATGTCCTTACTGAGGACATCTCAAATGTATGTATATCCTTGAAGAGAGGGTACAAAGATGATGGAGTCCAGCTTTTTTCACTGATGTGCAAGAAAAATGGACAAGAGGCGATTGGCACAAACTGAAATACCAGAGGTTTCCTCTGAACGTCAGGAAAAATATTTTACTGTGATGGTGAGCACTGGCACAGACTGTCCAGAGAGAGTGTGGAGTCTCTCTCCCTGGAAATAACCAAAAGCTGTCTGGACATGATCCTAAGTAAGTGGCTGTGCCTGGGTGGCCCTGCATGAGCAATGGGTTTGGACCAGCTGATGTCCAGGGGTCCCTTCCAACCCTAACTCTTCTGTGATTCTGAAAGAAGCCCATTGTCTGAAGCAAGACTTTCTGGAAAAGACAGAAACAGAACAAAGGGCAGGTCTTTTAGCCCAGTGGAAGACTAAGATATGGCTCTCAAGAGTGTTGAGAAGAAGCTTAGTGAGCAGTAAGAAAGATTGTGGCTGAAGAAGCAGGAAATGAATGAACAGTTTTACTTCAGAGAAAGCAAATCCTCACTGATGTTGTCCTTTCATGAACCTGAGTAATGAATGCACTGATTTAAAATTTTTCCCTAAGGCACAAGGCTCTGGGTTGCGATGAGAGATGATGAGAGGGTGTCCCTTGATGTAAGTGCAAGCTCTCCTCTAGGGGATATGAGCTGGAGCTGGAGCTGCTGGCTGCTTGCTTCCTTGTGTGTAGAGGCAGGGATTCTACACATGCTTGAAAGGAGTGCACTGTCAGTGCTGGGCAATGGACTGCTGTGTTTTCCCTTTGGCTCTCTCATGACAGTTTATCTAGTGGGTGAAATCATCTTAACTCCTGAAACAAGCAAAGGCACCAAAGGGAGGGAGGCCGAGACACATAACCTGATGTGTGCCCAGAGGAGCTAGTTCTGCTACATGTATATTCCTATGGTATCTGCTAAATATGAATTTGAGATAGAGGAAAACAATATTGATGAAATAAGAGGTAAAATACAGGAGCAGAAGGGAGATCATTTAACTGTCTTACTGACCCAGACTATGGCATTGATTTAAAAAGACTGTAACTGACAGTCATGAGCAGGCTTTACTTCAAGTCATCACAGACTATAACTCTTTCTTGCCCTCTCCAGCACTTGAGAGTCTGGCTTTAGGGTCTGTAAGAGAACTTCCTTTTGTTTTCATTAAGGGATAAGTTTAAACAATCCCTTACAGAAGTCAGTTTGTATCAGCTCATTATATGAACTGTCAGTACATAATAATTAATTGCACTGTGTCACAAAGCAGAATATAAAAGACTGTAAGAATAAACCTAATGCATGAGATTAGAAGTCCAATGGCGTACTTTCAGTAACAGGCTTCTGGGTTAAGAGCGTAAGAAATGAGGCAAGAATACAGTGATATTTCCCCCCAAAAGTCTTTCCGACTCTGGCAATCAAAGACGTAGGGACATTCTGAACTGGAGATTTCTTCTGGACCACCAGCCTTTAATAGCCCCAAAGAACATTTTCCCCTGAAGTGATGTAATTCCAACTGAAAAATATTTTTGGCAATGAATTCTATACTTTGATTATGCATTGGGTGAAAAATGGTTTGATTTCTACAAAGGCTTCTGTCTGATAACTTCATCTGGTGACACTAATTCTGTTTTTAAGAGAAACAGTGAATTTCTAATCACCTTCTCCATATTCTTAATGACCTTACCAACTGGTTTCTGTACTTATCACTTGTCCAGGCTAAAGACCTCTAGCTTGTTAGGCTTCCTTCAAGTGGAAGTCTCCCATGATTCAGCTCTGTTTTATTGCTTTCTTATGTCTTATCACATTGGATTATAATTTTTGAAATGGAGTGAATCAGAACTGTATGGATTTACTTGCTTGTATAATGTTTCTTTCTGTAGTTTTCTCCTTCAATTTTTTTTCTAGTAACTCCTAACAGCTAATTTCCTTCTTCTTTTGTTGAGCTTTGAGTTGATTTTTTACCCAGAGCGCTCTCCTTTATTGTAAAAGACAGACTAAATGTATAATTCTTCTAAGTTTCTAATTTTCTTTGAAATACTCCTCCAGAATATTTATTTTGAATACTCATTATCATCTGCTGCAGTATTCTTCTCTCTTCATCTTGGAAAAATTTGTTTTATGAGTATTTTTCTTACTTATTCCAAATGTGCTCTTATTTCTTCTACTTTCCCATGATTCAACATATTTCTTTTAGATGCTGTCTTAATGCCATTATCATTTTTATGCATGCATTGTTTTACAGATGCAAACATGCAGATTCTAATATCTCAAGAGAATACATTTCATTGCCAACAGGACTTACCATTAGTTTGTGTTTGCCAAACAGCATCAGATAGGCCCCAAAGAGCAGGGAATACAAAAAACACAGCGAGCTGCTTAGGATGAGGTTTCCACAGCAGTAGTGCTATTATACAGGCGGTGTTTGTAACTGTGGCTGTTGATTTAGAAAGAAAGAAGAGAAATATAGATGCAATTATATACAGGACAGATAGTGATAGATAATGCTTTTTTATTCTTCTTACAACTAGAGCACAAGGCAGTCTTAAAATCTTTCTGGTTCTTTGAGATTTGTGCTGACTGAGTTGATATCACATGAAATACAAGACAATGCAGGCCTTTGAGAGTCTTCAGTTCATAGTTCTGAGCAGTGTCCTGAGCTGAGAGATCCTCAGCGCTGGCATGGCTGTTAGACCAAAGGACACGAACTGCCACTGAGTAGGAGAAGGGGCTGCTGAAAGACTTGCACTCACCATGTGAGGCATGTGGGAAGGGAGTGCAAAAACCCTTTTGCTCTCCTTGTCTAGTCCTTAAATGAGATTTCCATTCAGGACCAGAGGAAACAATTAAGGATATCTAGAGGGTTTGGTGGTTTTTGGTCTTTCTTAAATATGCAAATTTCTTCTCAAGGTACAATGAAAATTACCGTCCCATACACAAGTCCTTAAGTTATTCTAGCCTGACACTCTGGCATATGACTTTATTTTTCTCCCTACTAGAACAAGCAGTAGAAATGGCACCAGGCAAACCTTTAAAAATTTTCCTGAAATTCTGCTGAAATTTCCAAATTTACCATTCCCCAAGACTCAGATCAACAGTGATTTTCTTTCACTCCATAAAGGTGAGGATTTTTCAGCCCAGTGGAGAAATCCTTGACTGTTATAGTGCAATTCTCAAATTCTGCATTAAGATCATTTATCACTGGCTGCATTAGAGCTATAAAGCATCGAGACTATTGGGCACTTTCTGCATAGATAATACCCTCAAAAGCATGGTGAACTTACATCACCAGCAAAGTGATGTAACGCAAAGACTTCAATTCAGTGCTTAATTGTGAACTGTGCTGCCTCTCTTCTCATGAATGAAGTTTGTGAAGTTTGCCTCCAGACTGGCTTTGGTATTAATCGATAGCTGACAGCAAGTTACCCCCCTGTGCATGGGGTGCAAGGGGTGGAGCACTGGTTTCGATCTATTACATGAGGTGATCAGTCATTCAAGAAACACTCACATACCTAATGCAAATAGAAGTTTTCTACCCGTGAACTGAGAGATCTTTCCGAAGAGCAGAGAGCAGAGGGAATTAACAGCTGCAAAGCAGATCATCACGTAGCCAACGTACTGTATCCCTAGCGCACAGGTCACGTATGCCTGGAAGAGAAGAGACAGTGGTGCTACATTATCTTCCATGAAAATACACACCTAAAGTTCAAAGGTCTTAGCCTGAGTATTTGGTAAATAGCATGGACAAGATCAAAGGAGCAGAGCTGGAGAGTTTGCTGACAAGTCCCTGGTGTATTCATATAGTTGGTCTTCAGTAGCAATACACCTAACCCAGGTCCCAGTCAGACTGATGCCATGCAAACAGAGTAACAACAAGCAGAACAAATCAGAGCACTGCATGCTATAAATAAAACTCCTGGAAGTAGCATTAGAAAATTTTTGCCATTCCCTTCATAGCCCAAGAGGTGAAAATTGACAGTTGAAACTATGGTCATTACAGAGCAGCTCCCAAGAAATGAAGAGGACCTCATCTATAAGAGCATATGACCTGTGGAGGTGATCATGGAGTGTCTCTTTCAATCCGTTACAACATAGCAGCAAGTGTACTCTTCCATCTTCTTTGATGCAAGGTTTGAAACCTTAAGCATCAAAGAAGCAGCTCAGGAAGATTTCTCCCTTTCTTCAGGTTTTTTTTCAACAAATGCATGGAGAACACACCTGCTGTGTGTCTTGATTTGTAGAGAAACTGGAGGAGCAGAGGTGGTTTTAATCATTTCAATCCATCAGGGTTTGGACCTATTGCACTAGTGACTGGTGAGGGCTTTCAGCCAGCCATGTTGAGGACTTGCTCTCTTACCGTAAAGGTTGTCAAAATAAAATACATGATATGTGTGCTGACTTGCACTTATACAAACTCTAGGGAAACCAGAAGGAAGGAAGATATAAAAGCTTTGCTGGATTCTGGCTTTTCTCCCAGTTTGTTATTTACAACAAGCTGAAGAGTTTGAACCTGTAGCTCTCTGCTGTGGCCTCCACTGGTGAGTTAAGCTCTCTACTGCACTCTTTTTGAGGCTGTTCCAAGGGACATATTTACTGCTGGCCTCTACTCTTTGAAGATGCCACTCAGAGTTCATTCAAGCAGAAGTAAGCAGTAATTTAGCAATCCACAAATCACCATTGAAAACATCTTCATTTAACATGTAAATATAGATTCAGATGCAATAGTAAGACGCAAAGACACAAAAAAAAGTCAGACAGAAATAGATTTCCGTTCTCATCCACACCTTTGTATAGTCACCAGAAAGAAATCCCTGTTCAAACCCACTGTACATTGTCAGAGGGATTAGAAGACACTGCCTTTTATCTTTAAGATGCTGGAAAGTTGCTAGGAATGTAGACCAAAAAGATGGTATCTCTAGTTTTTCTTTCTCAGTCTCTGCTTGATCAGATTTGATCTGGTCCAGAAATATAATAATCAGCAACACAGCTAGCACACCACTAGCTGCAAAACAAAACAAAACAAAACAAAACAAAAAGTTCATGAAAAACTGAGGAATGCTGGAAGAATGATGGGAAGTTGCTTGCTGCTGTTATTGTTCTGACTTAATGCTTAGCTCTCTGTGGGATACTTTGGCAGATGCCTCTGATTCCGTTTCGGTGTAAAGGCCATTTCTGTATAAACAAGAAGGCCTGATCTACATTCACATCTTCTGCATACAGCTGCACACCTCACAAATCCCCTCAGCTTAACTGTGACTGTCCTGTTGTGACAGCCGCCGGGCCAGCTGCACGGCCGCAGAGGGTGATGGCTCACCCTTCCAGGGCAATCCAGGGGCGCGGGGATGGGGAGTTGGCCAGGAACAGCTCCCTCGGGAGCTATCAAAAGCCTTTAAATCAACATGAGAGAGGAATATTCACTTCTAGTGCCAAGTTTTTCCTGGCTAGGGGGGATCTTCTTTCGAATACATGGAAAGAAAAATAAATGCTGTCTTGGATCTCAGTATATGTTGTGCTTTTTCTTTTCCTTTTTTTTTTTTCGTTTCAGCTCAGAACAATGCTTCGAGTATGGAATATGCGCTGTTTTGATGATGATGGTGAGCAATTTTAGCTAACTTGAAAAAGATTGAAGTTACTTCCTAGCAGAAGCACCATATGAAAGAATACATAAGGTAGTTAATCAGAAAATGATTTGTTGCTTGTGTAGTGAACCAATACAATTTTTTCATGTTACCGAGAAGATAAACTTGTCTCATATTATACATGAAACAGCCATAGATTCACAATTGATTGCTTCATTATGAATGTAGGGCATGATTACGTTTCCTCTCTTACTTATGCTGACTAGAATTCCATCCATGGAAACAAGTAGAGTTCAGAGTAAGAGGAGAACCAGGCACCTCTTCCCATCCACATTGTCTGTTTAATGTGCTCCTATGTTATGTGCATGGCTACTGTCTCTTCTGTGAACTTTTAATGTTCAAATGCATCAGCAGATTTACAATAAACTGCCTCAATTTTTTGTTGTTTATTATTTTTCTTCCATGTCTCCTTGAATGAAATTGTATTCTCCAGTGTCCTGGTTCCCTACAGAGGCTGAGCTGTAAACTCTTCATGATGTAATTGCTGGTTCTGCCAGGGTGTTTATTAGTACATATGGGCTAATTGCAGGACTTATATGAGCGAGAGCAGGGAATCCACACTTTCAGGAAAAATATTCTAACAAATATGTCAAATGAATCAAGAGCAATTAGAGGAGATAATGACATGGCTTAAGATTGGTTGGTATGAATGTAAGTAAAAACATTCACAGTCCTTGAGAAAACTCAACAACAAAGACTACGCTAGTATTGTCTCCACCCAAGCTGGGCAAAATATGTATTCAGCCACCAAATAGAGGACACATTTAAAAATGTCTGTGGATGAAATATTTAGCTATTTGCTTTCCCTTGAGGTGGGAAAAGACATATCTTTTATTAAAAGCTTAAAAGAAAAATGAAACCCTACTGATGTGGGGTCAGTAGACAGCAAGGTTGCATTCATTTTACATGAGCAAAGCCTAAGGGAGCACTGTATATGTTAGTCATCAAATTTAAATTTAAACTTGTGAGACAAACTTGCCTTTAGCAGAAAGTCATCAGCTCCAGTACACTCTGGAAGGGAAATGGGGGGATATTCTTTACATTTTCTCACCAATTAGGAATGGAGGCTGGGGAAAGAGGAAGGGTTTGCTGCAGTGCCCTTGTCCCATGAGAGCCGGCTCTGTGTAGATCACATGCACTCTGTTGGAGCATATAATAAATTCCATGCATCTGTCTCAGCACAGAGAATACATCTATGTTCAGAGACTGTGAAGATATTTTAATGGAGTCAAGGTGGCATATTGCCTTGCCAAATACTTTCTTTTATCCAGAGGATAACTTGTTTTGAGCTGGATACTTTTTGAAATTTCCTCACTCAATGAATCTCGGCACATCTATTTGTCTTTCCAATTTTTGATGGCATCAGCCTTCCCTGTCTTTGATTCTTTTCTAGCCTTATGCAAGGGAGGTCTTTAGCAGCCGTATTTAGTAAATGGGAGCAAATTAGCAAATGCCAATTTGCCTACTGCTTCTCTTCAACTTTGCCTTTCACACCAAGGTATTCAAGCAGCGCAACTAAGAGTTGACTGCAGTTGTGAAGTGTCAGCAGGGATCCAAAAACCTTCCCTCAAATGACTGCTTGTTCTGGGAGCTGTGGTTCAAGTCCATCTCTAAATACAATGTAGTTCTTGTGCTAAAACTTCTTTATATATGGTAGGACACCAATCAGTTCTGATAGGCATCCCCACCTGACTAGAAGTTGGTGAGTTCAAGTACTGCTATCTGGGCTGCTCTTACCATCTTGGACCTCCGCATGCATATAAATTTGCCCTATGCCATCAATATCTAGATCACTATTACTGGTCCTGACAATAGTGAATTTAAAACCATCTCATGCATAAGTGGATAAGCTGCTGTAATCCTGTAATTGCAATGTGGGCATACTTTTGAGTCTAGTCTGTAGAGGAACACTGACTTTTGGTGAAACTAGGGGGTTACCACACTGGGCTTCAAATTTATTTCAGGTAAAAAATTTAAAGAATGTCTTACTCCTTTAGATAAAAAATTATACAGCTCTGGCATAAAACATTTGAAACTAGAAAGGAGTTGTTTACAGGTCTCACATATCTTATTTCCTTTTAGCAAATTGGATTGAAGAAGAAAGTCAGAAACTTAATCTGCAAAGTCATGCTAGATTTCAGAAGTACTAAATTCCCTTCAGTGATATTGCTTATAGATTGTGTGTATTACTTACCAGTGTAAACACCTAGCAGTGTGTAGATTAAGGAGTGGGAGGGTTTCGCTGAATCAGTGGTGTTAGTGGTATCAGCCAGGCAGTTGTATGCTCCACAGCATGCCAGGTCTTCTTCTGAGATTTCCACTAATTCAGTAAGAACCAAAAGAAAGGCAGGTCAGTGAAGAGATCAGATAACTGCACACTATACATAAGGATATAAAGAGATGGGAATCCAGTGCTCAGTGATTGGTCCCCATTTCAAATCCTTCCTGACTAGAAATTATTAACTTCAGAATCCCAGTTTAACACACAAATATTTGATTTAACAGAAGCAGTAGCTTCCGACTTAACACTGAACTGATGGTTGCATGGAGATAAGGGCTAAAATTAAAGGTTAAAATCTGAATGCAAGCTCAATTTGCAGTATTCAAAGTTCCAGTGCATATCGCTACATCTTAGTCATAACACCCCATGAAACAGGTCCCTTAGTTTACACTGCCACTGAACTGATGGTCCACAGTTCTTACAGCCATTGCACATTAACCCTCTCCAGATAATGTCTGTATATGTTATAGGAACAGAAACCACTTCAAGACATCTTTTTATTTTATAAATTCAAATTACTACTACCCAGTAATGCAGTCTTCCAAGAAGCCTGCTTTTCCTGGATTTATTATTTTATTACTGGCTTTATAAGTTTCTGAGAACATACCTTAAACTAGATCAGTTAGGCAGGGTTTGGAGTAAGACCTTTGCTTTGTTCAATCTTACCAGTGTTGTGCCGGTCATACATCAAAGCCACACACATGTGCTCACACATACTGTGTGTCACCATGACACCATGCCTACTTCCTCTTGATAAAGAATAAATACTAATTCAAAGTGTAAGCCTGAATAAGATGTGTAGTGGAGAAGGATGATCAAAAAGCCATACAATTATTTTAATGCTTTCACTGCAGAATTTGTCATTGGTCCAAGCACAATAAAGGGCAGTACACTTGTACCTTGGCTGAGTCCTTAAATAAGAGTTGATCTGTAATTTTTCAATTAAGGTTATTGCATAACTATGTTTAGTGTGGTTTTCCTCATTGCTTGCAATCAAAGCTGCTGCAATGTGAATCAGCTGTTCAACTAGTTTCATAAACAACTTTAGGTTTAACATCAGATAAAATTTAATAACGTAAAGAAAATCATTACCTTATTATAGCCACTGGCTAATGCTATAGACCTTCAGCAAAAATTGGACAATCAGACCCTCAGCAAAATTAACATATGGAAAAGATGAGTCACATAAGTGAAGTGTGGAAATGTGTAAAACAAGTTTTTCATGTGTTCATGAATCATCTGAAGATGCACATGCAATTAGTGATATGGAAGGTGCAAGGCAGGGTTTGCACTGTTTCTCTGGAATTAAGGCTGCAATATTGATGAGTGAGAAAGCATGACTTGTAATTTACCCTGAGTACTGTCTTCTGTTGTAGTATTGCTTCATGGTGTAACTTTGCCTTGCTTCCTCTGGATGCAGTGATGCAGGCAATTTATCAAGTGTAGGTATATGTCTGAATTCTATGCATTTTGATTCTGAAGACAAATGCTATATCTTTCTGACTGCTCAGTGAAATTGTACATTTTAAGTATATGAACAGTATGGATAGATACCTTTGTTGCAATGTCAGAGGAGATTAAAATATGGAAGAGGTTGGAGATGCTTACTCTCTCACCTCTGCAAAGAAGCTCCCTCTGGATTAAAGCTGAGTCTCACTGAGAAGGCACAGCAGAGAAGCTTATGGTATAACTGCTCATCACTGTTGTGAAGATATGCAAGGCCTTTGACTTTGAGAGCTGTTCACAGCACATCTCCCAGGAACACTGCATTTTCTGAAATTCTATACAATTGATTAAAAAAATAAGTAAAAGAAATTCTTTACAATTTGGAGGAATATCCTCAGATGTAAAACTAGGATGGGATTTACATGACAAAAAAAGTAGAGGTTTAGTCCTCTTATTAAAATTATGTGTGCTGTGAGGCAGAGGAGAGTAAAATGGTTGCAGTCTGTGCAGACCCCACAGCTGCACCACAGCCTCTGCCCTGCAAGCGAAATCAGAACAGACAGTCCCTCCCGAGATATCACGTGGCTCAGTGATCAGGTCAGCAGGGCTCCACTGCACTTTGAAAGCAGTTCGTTAGCATTCTGCTCTAATGGTGTTTCATCTGTAGTTATTTGGGTTTAAAGGAAGCCTGATTCTCCAAAAGTATCACACCTTGTGACAACTACTTTGCCATAAAGCCAAGGATTCAAAGATTAAAACCCGATGCCAGCTCCCTGATATTTAGTTTTAAACTAGTACCTGTTTGAATACTCTGCTTAATTGAGCCAGGGAAGAGAGGTAACTTCCTGCTACTTATAGTAGAATGTATATGGAAAGTCCCTGTTATGACTTTGACAGGATAAGGAATGCACAGGAGACTGCAATGATAATATATCGTAGCATTTTGAATCTCTAAGGTGGCATCCAAGTATTAATTTATCTTCACAACTACCCGTTTAAAGCTGACACCAATTACATGCATGGGAAATGAGGGCACTGCTGTTGAGTGATTTCTTCAAGCTACATCGGCATCTGCTGTCTGAGCCTGAAATACAGCAGAGGAGCCTGGGCACACAGACTCCTGCCAACAGCTACTGCTATTTCTTCTTGACAGTTCTGTAGAGCACTCATTTTCAGCAAGCACCAGCATCAGCTTGACTACTCTTGAATGTTTGAAAGCATACTAATTCAGTACTACAAACTTTGCGAAAAGGTTGCTTCATGTCTTGCCTTTTGTTTTTATCCACTTTAAATAGAAATTAGATGTGAAAAACTGTCACTTCCAGAAGCCTATCCATGCTTTACAACACAGGGGTGGAATTAAATCAGAATTCAATAGACATCTATTTTTGAGCTATTTGTCTGAACGCTTTTTATGGCTGACAAAGAGTTGATAGAAAATAGACACTTTCAGAGAGCAAAGCAGCCCATCTATTTCATACATCTATCTTCAGATGAGCTAACTCACATCTGAAGTGCCTATTTCCACTGCCTATGGAAGCTCAGTTGCAGAAATTTACCTTTTATCTATCTAGCTGAAATTTATAGAAAGAAGTGCCAAAATTTTAAAATATATTTTACCTTTGGTGGAAGATTGGCTAAATATCAAGGATGAGATAAGATTTCCCCAGATGCCAGAGGACTGAAATACCAGAAAGAAGACCCCAAAATATTGGTTGATAATGTCTTTTGCATTTTTTCCTGCTTTCTCAGCATAAGAAGTGCCAGCAATGGTGAGGTAAGTGCATTTGGCAGACCAGAGTGGTGCTCCTCCTAAGCCCAGGATCACAGATGTAGGGATTAGTGTGTACCTGCCAAAGAACACTTTATTTAGCATAGCTGTTGTCCATTAGCATAATGATAATTTGTCCTAAGATTCAGAGGCAAAAATAGACATCAAAGAAATAGATTTATCCTTTGTATGACACAATAAATCTCTTACATGGAATCCAGAAAAGGCCAGTCTTACGAAGTTTGGGATGTGCAAGCACTCCCAGCTCTGTCAGGGACTAGGCCTAAGCTAGGCTGGCTAGGTCTTTGCTCATGTGCCTTATCTTCTTCTAACTGAGAATTAAATTGTACCTGCACTTCAGAAGATGGATCACAACAACTTTCCTCCAAAGAGCTGCAATCCCTGTCTCTGGAGAGTGGAAGTTGTTCATCCACCTCTGAAAAGGCAAGGCAAGAGCTACCCTCTTCCTGTGGTCCTCTTCTGCCAGGACTACTGGCTAGAAGATAGCCTTCCTTTCAATCTTTTCAAAAACAGTCCTAAAAGTAATTTGGCTTTTAAATGAAATTTCTAATTTTTTTCCCAAAGGGGAATCTCTGCTACAAACATGAGTTAGAGAAGCAACTTCAGATGGGTGAACGATGTATTCATTCTGACTTTTTGCACATTTTCATCTCTTGGTTCACCTGCTACTGGATTTATTTATCTCTATTTCTTGCAGGTAGCACTTTTGCATCCAACCTTCTAATATGCAACACAGAGGTAGAGTAGGAATTGAGAAGAAAAAGAAGCCAGAATTTTGCCCTTACTTATTTTGTTCAAACACAGTAGACAGAGTTAAAGTATTTAAATTGTACCAGCTAGCATAGAAGTTCCCTAAGGAGAATGCAATGTAGCAGCACATAGAGATTGCAATGGTCCACTTGCAGCCCAGCTTCTTGATGAGGATTGGAGGGAGGAACATAGACGATAAGATGAGCGCAGCATAGAGAATGCTTAGGGAAGCAACACCCAGGCCTTCTTCTGAGTTGAGACTGCTCTGCATGGACAAAAACAGTGAATGAGACAAATTTTATCACAGGCACATATTATTATGGTGTACAGAGAGTGGCTTCAGGTAGAAATGGAGAGATGCAGCATCTGGGGCTGGGTGTTACTGTCTCCTTTCCCCATAGCAATCTGATTATGGATTTATGGTTTTCCTCACAATGATAGAACAGTTATGAAAATACGACACAAAATCAGTTGAGGATTGCTCAGATTCAAAGCTTCAATAAGTCAGACCTTAGATTTGATGCAATTTTTTTGAGTTTCTCTTTGAAAGCAAGTTAAATGAAGGATAGTTTCTTTTCCTGGCCCTCACTTGTTTACAGAATCACAGAATATCCTGAGTTGGAAGGGACCCACAAGGATCATTGAGTCCAACTCTTAGCCCTGCACAGGACTATCCCCGAGAGTAACATCATGTGCCTCAGAATATCATCCAAATGCTTCTTGAACTCTGTCAGGCTGGTGCTGTGACCACTTCCCTGGGGAGCCTGTTCCAGTGCCCAACCACCCTTTGGATGAAGAACCTTTTTCCAATATCCAACATAAACACCCCCTGGCACAACTTCAGGCCATTCCCTCAGGTCCTGTCACTGATCACCACAGAGAAGAGATCAGTGCCTGCCCCTCCTCTTCCTCTCATAAGGAAGTTGTGACTGCAATGAGGTCTCCCCTCAGTCTCCTCTTCTCCAGGCTGTGGAGTGACCAAGTGACCCTCAGATGCTCCTTCCCCTCCAGGTCCTTCATCATCATCGTTGCCCTCAGGCAGGCAGGAATATCCTCAGATCTGCATTGTAAGGCCTGACTTAGCAACAGTAGAAGATTCTTTGCTTTAAAGTACAGGTCTGATAACTTCTAAATTCTTCAGAGGTCAAGGTTCGATATCCTAATATGCTCACAGCAGCCCTTTGTAGTTGGAGGTAATTGATTCAGCCGCATTTTGACAAGGGAGCAATAACTGATCTAACCAGGTGTTACAGTTTTATGCTCAAAGTAGTTCTTGTCTTGATACTGTTAAAGTTGAAATGAGAAGATCAAGTTGGGAGACCTGGACAAGCTTGAAAAGTGGACCTGTGTGAATCTAATGACGTTCAACTAGTCCAAGTGCAAGGTGCACCTGGGTTGGGGCAATCCCAATCATAAGCACAGACTGGGAGAAGAACTCATTGAGACTAGCCCTGCAGGGAAGGACTTGAGGATTCTTGTGGATGAAAAGCTGGACATGAGCAACAGCGTATGCTCACAACCCAGAAGGCCAATCACATCCTGGGCTGCATCAAAATAACTGTGACCAGAAGAGGGACTGGATGCTGAGGGGCTGGCACTGGAGAGTGCTGGAGGAGAGTGAAGCTGTTGGTACTTGACAGAACACCTTCAAGCCCTGCAGTGGCTGTGCAGTCTGGCCATGCAGGACCATGGTGACAGTCGTACAGCAACCTTGGTGAGAAACAGGCACCAGGGATATGAGGTCAGGGGCTTCCCTGCTGAGCAGTGTCAAAGTATTTGAGAATCGGAACGGTTGTTTTGTAAACTGTCAGAGAGGCTTCCTGATCTCAGAGGTCTTATTTCTGACATATCACGTGCCTGGTTTTGTCAGATATAGCTTCCAAAAATTAGAAGCCAGGCCTCCAAAACCATATGATTAGCTTAATTGTTATTGTGCGGGGTTTCTCTGGGGGGTCTGGGTAGTGGAAAATTGAAATGAATAATGAAAATTTTTAATGTTCCAGCACTTAACCTGAGTGTGCATCATTTCAGATGGTGGGACTGACTTGTAGCTTCTTGGGTTTATCTTCCCCTGCCTCATTAGTCTCCCCAACTCACATGTCCATCCAGTTTTGGGGATATTTTTGCATAACTTCTCTGAACTCAGAATTTGACAAAGTCAGCAATGAGAAGATGTTCCAGAAGAGAAGAGAGAGTTACAGAACTAGCAAGGACCTCTTCCTGAAATAAGATCAACCTCTTGCTATTGTAAATAAGTGCATCATGTTATGTGTCAAGTTCCACCTTTAAGGCATACAGATTCCCACTCCAGTGGGAAAATCCAATCCAGTTGATCATGGTCATATGTTAATATCCTGCCTAAAGTTACTTATGAGTAGTTTATATCCATTTACTAGAAATGAGGCCAACAGAGTCTTCTAGTCTGAGAAGTTTCTCCTTGTGTTTATCTACTCTGAAGTATTCATGGACAGCAACAGTAACCCTCAGTCTTTCATTTTGGTTAAACAAATGTGCTATAATGGTATCCTGAGTGCTCAAGTCATTTTAGAAAGTCATCTCTGCTACTGTGTCTTAGGATGTTAATGCCACTACAAACCACAACTGCCTTTCATTTAAAATAGTATCTTTTATGATCCCAGTAATTACTATATTATTTTATACTTAAATTATTTAATGGTTTGGGCATACATTTTTATTATTTTATAATGACGTACGATAATAATAATAATTATAAACCCATAGCAATTTAGAAATATTAAAAAAACCCCTTTCCAGAAACTGAATTTGTTTTCCATTTTTCAGTATCTTCTTTTGAGCAAAATCTCAGGTAAATTTGTTTTTATTCAAACAACTTTGTGAATCTGAAGAAGTATTATGCCACAAGCATTCAAGCTATTTGAGAAACACTAGAATAAAATATTTAGTAAATACTATGAATCTGAGTGAGGAATACTAACCTGCAGCAAGTTAATGTCCTAACCCACCTCATAGAAAATCTTGTGCATATCTTGCTCACAGAGACATGGAAAGATGGATGTGTTTCCTACTGCCAACTGTTCTGATGCCCTTCCAGGCCAACTGTCCTGCTAACCAATGGGAGATTCCCACTTACCTGTAGACTTTGGAGTCCTCCGTAAGCAGTAAAGAGGAATAAAAATCCGAAAGAAATGACCAAAACATTCTTAAGATTCCTTTCCATGTTGTTTCATAGAAGACAAAAGGTGTGCTGGTGGGCAGAGCTGATCCAATTATTCCAGGGGATGATTCGAGCTGGAGAAAAACAGCTTGTGTCTTGATGGAAAAGGTCACTTCTTTCTGTGTTTGTGAAGGAAAGAGTTGTTAATTATTTGAAGACTGGTCAGTGAACTTTACTTTTATTTGTACTGAAAACGTGTTATGGAGTTGTTACTCATTCACGTGTTGTGACTCCAGCAATAGCAGTTGCCCCTGAGGGACACCTACATGTTTTATTACATAGGTATGTAAGTCACTTGCAACACTTGGACCAATGTGAGTATTGCAGTTGTACATTATATGGCTCTCTACTACAAGCAGCACAGAAATAAAAAAATGCAAGCAGTGAAACTGCTTTCTGGCAGAAAGATATACTAATCCATAAAGGGCAAAGATTAAGCCATTGTACTGAAACCTCTATTAGGCCTATTGCTTAACTAAGGTTACAAAAGCATACTAGGAAATGAGATTGTGTTACAGTGCTGTCTGCATACACCAGCTCTGTAGCTGTGCAGCACAGAAAACCAAGGCTGCTGGCTGCTTTGCAGGTGGAGGGTCTTCATTCATGGGGAACACCATGGCTTTGGTCTTTGAAATTTACCAAGTCACAGTCATGAAAATAATTTTTCTCCACCTTTCTCATCAACTCAAAAGCCAAGAAGAAAGCAGATTGAGCAGATAAATGAAAAAGCAACTTCCCCTCCCCTTCTCTGGCCCTAAGCCTGGCAGGGTGAACAAGACCCTTCCTGCAACTGTGGCAGAGGAGGGATTTGAACTTTGGATCAAAGTGGAATCCAAGAAAGTCCATGGTATAATGTGAAAAGATTCAAGTGGAGATGGTCTGTAGGGTGTCCATAATGTTCATCGGGAATGCACAGCTAAGACTTGGTCCAATTCCCACTAGATGGCACAATTTTGCTTCCGAAGGGGGCATCTGAGGGTGAGGGGAAGAAGCGTTAATGCATTAACTCATTTAATACAAAAGAGGTCACAGGTAGTTTCTGCTTTGGAGAAAATTGCAGTATGTGCCTTTTCATTTTCTTCTTTTGTCTTATAATCTTGAATGAAGTAATGCAGAAAACATAATTTTTTAATACTCCATTGTTAATGTTTCTTCTTTGTTGCAAGTCTGGATAGTGGCTTTTTATTTTGCAGGCCACTATGCTCCGCCTGCAAACACTTTGAATTAGATCATAATTATGCTCTTTTTTGGCAGTGTTTGTAAGCCTCTACAAGGCACTTAGATCTTAAACTGGTGGTACTTTTCCCCATCTTTTTAGGTTCATGGACCCTTGCAATTTTCAGGTGAAAATATTTCACAAGACATTTGCACCTGGTGTTAACATGCTTGTTTCTGCTTCAGATCCCTTAGAAAAAGTCTGCCAGATTCTACAGATTTGCAATCATAGGTCTAAAACTACTGGAAAAATGATTGAGAATATGTAGGAATAATGCTTATCCTATCAGCTGTTGTAGCAAAGGCAAGAACCAGGAATAGTGCAAAGAGCACTCAGTTATAAAAGCCTTTATTTCAGTTCTTTTTCTTGACACTAGCAGTAATAAAAACAAAACTTTAAAAAAAATTAACTGGACACTATTTTTAAAATGCAGTGTTGGACAAGTTATCTGATCAGCACTTCTGCTCTGAAGGAATTCTTAACTCCTAATTCAGTCACGTCCTCTCAGCAGTGCGATACTGGAGCGTATATGGGAGATGGTGCTTTTTTTGTATGTATTTTTTTTCTCTTCTTTCCACTGATCAAAGGCATTTCAGCCTGTTCCACATCCCTTGCCCAGGGGTTATCCAACTGACTGGTCCCAAGACCCTCCTTAGGAATGTGCAGAGTCCTTCACCAAGGAAATCTGATAAGGGGAAGGATCTTTTCCTTTGGTACCAGGCAGCCAAGGCTCCAGCAGGCCTGCCGTGTATCACGCTTGACACCTCTTTCATTCTTTCTGCCAGTCTAACTAAGATTAAGTGAGAGATCCTCAGGAGCTGTGCAATGCATTTGAGGCTTAGCTTTCTCACAGAAGACTGCAGCCACTAAGCTAAAACAGTCTTGCAGAGCACCACCCCAAATACAGGAGATAGAAGAGGCTGGTTAAACTGATGACTCCCTCCCACAGCCAATTACATTTGTTTTCCAGTGTTTATTCTCTCAGTGTAAATGAGGGCAGTCTGCTCAAAACTTTATAGCACTAGGGGCTAATCTTTGGGAAGTTTTGTTCTTCATAATTATCTTTTCCCTATTTACTCTATTCTGGTTAAATACATTGTTTAGGCAATTATTTTAACTACAGAACAAAACCACAACACCCAGAATACTCATCAGAGGATTTTCTGTCTTAGGAGGCTTTTAATTGGTTAGTTCCTTGGTGGTATACAGTATCCCTTGAATCTACCTGTAGGAAGGTTGACTGCCTATACAGCACTTACTTTCTTGTTCTGAAAGTCTGGCCATGTTGCTCTCTTCTTCTCCTCCTCCATCTGCATTTGTGCCCTGCCTATTTTGGAGTTGAAGCAGGAATGACTAAATGTGACATGTGTCTTGCAAAGCTCTGCCATTTTGACAGGGGCTTTGGAAAATACAGGCTGTTACATGTTGAGAGATGATCACAACTGGGATGTGAGATCCATAATGCTGAGTTGAACAGATCCTGTTTTCTCACAGGAAGGGGGTTGGAAGGGAGCTGCCAGTCAGTGAACTCATTTTGCCCACAAAGTTGGAGGAAAATAATTTTTGTTATTTTCTCTCTAGAATTGTGAGTTGGTCTTGTTTGTCTCTAAAGGCTTAAAAATCTCACCCTCCTCCAGTATTTCAGGTCTCATTTCCAAATTTCCTGTATTTCCCATCTGTCCTTTCAAATACTTCTTTTTCATCTTGCAATGCATCTACAGATACTGTCCTTTCATCTGTTCTCCCAGGATTGTCTCTACATGCTAGCTGCATAGACATCAGTTTGCCACTTCTGTCTGAATTCTACCTGCTGGTGTCCTCCATCTTTCTCTGGAGGCACCAAACTGTCTATCTCAATCTTCCTTTATGTCCTTGATGTATGTTGTCCTTCCTTCCTTCCTGCTTTGCTGTTCCTGAGCCATCATCCTGCCTGTGTCTCACTGTTTCTCCCTTCTCACCTCATCTCCTGAGTGCCAGCAGACTTTTTGATTCTTAAGGGAGTGACCTGAAATCTGCTGGTTGAGTTCCCATCTCACAGATTGCTACGCTACTTTTAGCCTTGCTGGCTGTAAGGTCTCTCTCCTCCCTTAGCACTGCTCTTAATTTCTGACGACACCTCCAGCTCCACTACCTATTCCTTAAAGAGGAGGAGGAGAGACACCTGGTCTTCTGGGCTGGAAGCCAGCTCATGGTAGAAAGGCGACCAAATGGAAAAAAATCAGAGAGGGTGCAAGCTTGAATGAAATTGTGACTTTTTTATCAGTAGGACCATGTAGGAGACTTTCCCTACAGGACACTTGCCTGCTCTGTTGAATGCAGCTGTCAAAATAATCAACATTGTCTTTATAATACAGACAGGACTCAATTTATGATAGGATGATGTGATGCCAGTCCAGACTCACTCATAAACTTTTATGAGCTGGAGAAACAGTTCCTTAAAGTGTTGGGCTTCTTGTAGATGTTACTCGCCTCCTGAGATTTGCATCAGTTTTGGCTGGAGCTTTCAATGCATGAACACATATATGAGAGTGTTCACAGATATTAATTCAAGACTAGGGAGAGATGTAAGCATGCTGAAGGTAAGCCCCTGCCCTGTGTAGTAGGCAACCTCCCTGCAGAGGACAGGTAAGGAGATTGGCCTCTCCAGGCTGACAGCTGCCTGGGAACAATCCCCTGTTTCTCCACCAGAGTTGTCTTGCATTCTTTCTCGTATGATAAAGTTCTTTCATCTGGTTCAGACTCAGCCCAATCACATTTTTCCTTCTTAAAACTGTTGCCTGAGCATTGACATTATACATGTGCCTTGCTCTGCATTTTGGATGTTTCGGAATAGCTGCGGTAATCCCATTTCTAAACTAGCAACTGTGACTCAATTGGTAAGGCTTAACACCCTGCTAAGATAAACATGCCACTATGTTTATCTATGCCACTATGTTGTGATCTATGCTTTATAATGAATGGGCAGGGAGGTGGATCCTGCATATGAACAATGGACTTTTGTATGGCAGTGGCTCTGAAGTCTTAAGAGCCTTTTACCGGAAACTGCTTGACTTCATACTGGTTGTTCACATAAGCATGCATCAGAAATTCCTTACACACATCCATGATATGCCTGGGAGGATGGGTCTCTGTCAGCAATCCAAATCATGTACATTTTCACCTTTCCTTTTTGTTTCAGAGATGGTTGCTCATGTTATTAATGTCCACTATCAAGCTAGCACAAGAGAAGGTCCATAGTGGTCAGTCAGGAAGCCCCTGCTTTTTAAAAGCTATCATCTAAAGATGCAAGATGAGTTTATCAGCCTGTAGAAATAAAAAGAAAAGGAGAATGGGGCTTGATTCCAGAGAGCAGCACTGCATATTGGTTTAGACATCCTGGGATGTGGATGTCCTCACCTCCAGTGCCTTTCATTTGTCCATTGGTTGCAGCCATGACTGGAGGCTGACATAAGAGGAATATTTACCACCTATTTGCCACCCATTTTCCATCGATGTAAATATCTACCGTAGAGAAAAGGGAAAGGTAGTATGAGTCTCTTCCTCTGCAAGCCTTGCTCCTACTAACTTTTGCTTTTTTTCTCTGAATATCCTACAACCACATATAACAGCAGGAGCTACCAAGCTGCAGAAGTTCAAGCAGGGGCTCTTGAGAGTGAAATATTAAAAGAAGGGGGCTGTACAGGCTGGTATGAAAGAAAGGTGTTGTTATTGGTAAAATAGAAGATCTATTAGAATTAATCAGAATATGCAATCCTGCAGAAAATTTTGATGATGAAACTTCTTCCCTATCCCAATAGATACCACCAAGTGCCTGA